TATTCATTATTCATCATATTATATCACAAGGAATCATCCCTTGAATTATTTCGGTGTTATTCAGATACACCCTGTATAGATCATTCTTCATCCCAATATAGTTATTCAACATTTTTCCCATAGCGAAGTTCAGCAAATACCGATGGCGAGAGCACTATGTTTATTGATTTGATGTCTACCTATAATATATGTAAAACAAGAAGACACAACTACTAGTGTTCCGTTTCGAAGTACATTAAATTGTCAAATTTGACTCCAAAATAATTCAGGCACGCGCCAATGTTCATAACGTAGTTACTGCTGCCCGTTTACGTTTCCCCACCGCTTAGGGAACGATCGGGCGTGTTCGGTGAACACACGGGTATGATCTCGAGACTCTTGTATTCCAGACAGAGATGAATGATACATGATTTCTGACTGAATGAATTAGCGCGAGATCACAGTTGAAAGAATTAATATTTCAGTTGCCTCAGTCTCCGTCGGGCATTTGGTATTTTCTAACTATGGCGAGATGAGGTTTCTACGTCATAAGAGGGTCCGTATTCAGAAGGTACTATTATTTATGTCCAAAAATAAAACATTCCATTTAATTTTTCGATCGAATTATGTCGTCAATCAGTATTTATGTATGAAAGGATCATCATAAACATGGTTTGAGTTGAAAGTTCTACTAAGGTGTACACGCCCATTGGACTCTCTCCCACATTTGAAACAACTGCCTATTTTCACCAATATCATGAGTCAAAAAATTGAAATAAAAAATATATTATTAATTTTTTTTTAGTAACCGAACAGGTACAGATAACTAATCAGGTACAACTACGTACGAAGAGTACTTGTACTATAAAAATATGATTTTTCATTGTATGCAATTGATTGTTGCAATTTATATTTCTGATCATATTTAGGTGGGTGGGGCGTTAAAAGTGAGACACCCTGTATAGTTAGAAAAGTTCAAATGTATATAAGTTGATTGTTCTCTCCCTGCAGGTGGATCAACTATTGATGAAGAAACAAAAAAATGTGTCATTTTTTCTGAAGATGTAATACATAATTATCACTCATTCATATCAGTTGATATGATGATATATGAGTCCATTGAAAAAGAATATTCTCAGATATAACTATGAACATAAAAAATGGATATACACCGTGTCCCAGCTAAAATGTCCCCCCCTTCAAAAAATCAACCACACTATGGAATGACTTGAAATTTGGTCACCCAGTATATTTGATGATGCTCAATCGAAATATGCTATTGAATAAATCGTAGGTATACAGGGTCACACCGAAGTGCACCTAAACTTTCCTATTTGAATAGGGACACCCAGTATATTATTCCATATTCAAGTAGACTTCATTATTACAAATTCACCAATGCCGTGTTTGATGGGATTTTTTCAAACGACTACGAAGATATGGCAAAAAATGAAACGATTCAATAAAAAAATTATATGATTAGATTTTATCAATATAACACGATTGAAATCGAATGAAAAGAAAATAATTAAAACCTCAACTGCTCAATATGTCGTCCATTCTGCTGCAAACATTTCCTAGCTCTTTTGACAACGTTCATTGTGACCCTATGTATCACGTTGCGATCAATTTGTGCGCATAAATTTGTGATTTTCTCTTTCATTTCTTCCATATTCACAATTGGCAACTCATAAACCTGTTGTTTCAAGTAGCCCCACAAATAAAAATCAAGTGGGGTGAGGTCTGGCGACCGAGTTGGCCAGTTGCTATCACCATCGAGACAATTGGTGGTTATTAGATTCTCTCCAAACCGATGGCAAAGATAATCCTTTACGGGTCGGTAGTTATGTGCAGGACACCCATAATTCGATTTCAATCGTGTTATATTAATAAAATCTAATCATATTATAAATTCTTTATTGAATCGTTGTTTTGCCATATCTTCGTAGTCGTAAGTAAGTTAAGGTGCACTTCGGTGTGACCCTGTAAACCTACGATTTATTCAATAGCATATTTCGAGTGAGCATCATCGAATATACTGTGTGATCAAACTTCAAGTCATTCGATCGTGCGGTTGATTTTTTACAGGTGGGGACATTTTAGCTGGGACACGGTGCATAAAGAAATACATTGAGAATTCGCATCCTCTATGTGATGAAAATATCAATTCTTTCTCGGTTTATTCAACAGAAAACAACTACTTTCCTGGCTATATGCCACGACGAACATTGAATTATATCTATTGAACACACGCCATGAGAATTTTAGAATGAAATCGTCTGAAGTGGAGAATTTGCATCATCCTTCATATCATATACACATGATATCATTCTGAATATTCAACGGAGAACAACTTTTTTCCTGGCTATGTGCCACGTCGAACATTGAATTAAATCTGTTAAATATGAAAAATGAAAATCCTCTGAAATTGAGAATTGATATTATCTTCCAAATCGGATAAAATAATATGATGTAAAAACAAAAAATATAGGATTTCGTTCATTTTTCAGTCTACGGAGATGGCAGTTAAGCGAAGTCTAGAGGAAGTTTTCATTCATTCTGCTAGGTCGCCAGCGAAACAAGAAAAAACTGACAGAACGCTACAGTATGTCCAACAAACCAGTCCACCTGTCATGTTCTGCAGATCATATTCAGTGGGATGACAAGACTTGACCAGCGATGGAGAATTATTATCTTTTAAATTTGTGACTGATTATACATATAGTATCGTATATACATCGTGTATAATACATACCTAGAAATACTCATATTGTATAAGAACTGGTTCATTGTTATCACAGTGAATTTTAGCTTGAAAAAATTGAAACGACTAGATGAAAAAACTTTTTCCATTCTATTTCGTAACATTATGTATTTGAGGCAGAGTCAGTCACTTTTTTCTTTTAGCAAAATATTTCTATTTCTTTGAAAATGTTTGCAAAAAGTGATAATTCAAATACTGTCTGTGATGAGGAATAAAGATATATCGAAAATATATTTTCACTCAGCTTTGGACGTTTTTTATTCAGAAGAAGACAACAACCATAAAGAAGAAAAATAAAAGAAACAATTGCCCAACAACAATTTTTTCATTTTCATTTTCATGACTATAGGTTGAAACTAAAATGGTCCTTTCTACCCATTATATAGAAATAATATCCATGTTTTACAATCCATATTCGAATACAAGATATCGTCGAGATACCACATAAATATTTAGAGGAGGTTTTTATATTTTGGTAACTAAATTGACATTCTTAGTTGAAATTAAGGGGAAATAAAGATTCTGACTCAATTGTATATCTTCCAGGATCATATTATTCAAGGAGTCTGTGGTAGGCTGAATAATCTAAAGAATATGTGAATGAGTAACACTCGATTTAACAAACCGATTATATCTTAATATGTTCCTTGAATCTTGTGTGAATTGTTTGACATGTTTGCCCACTATATCAAATGTTACAGATGAATTTTAAATCTTATTTCCCACAAAAAAAATCAGCCCGACTTCGAAAAACACGTCCACTATTGAAAAAATAATTGGCTCCTTCCAGACATTGTCTGAAATAATATTTTATCAGCGAAAATCAGTCAACGAATAAATGCGAATTCTTGTCTATTGGAACTGGTTAAAGTGCCCCGAACATATTATTTCACGCTTTTTAAAGAGTGTGGACACGCTTGTCATGTTGAATTCAAACCTTTTCGTCTGATTCCAGACTTTCCACTCTGAATTCAGAATTTTTTCTCTGGATTCAGACTTTCTGTTTGAATGCAGACTTTTTTCCATATGTGTATACAGGGTGGTCCAAAAATGCACGTTAGATCACAGGCACGTATTCCTAAATATATAAATAAACCTTTGAAGTCACTTCTTGCGCAAGATGGCAGTCTGGGAGCAGAAAAAGTTTTTCTTCCTTCTCAACAGTAGTTGGTTAATTGTTGAGCCTAATCGTCCTCCATAATTTGTCTTCTCATGTTTAGGGGTTGGAACCCCTTGAAAAAAAGTCTGAATTTAGAGCGAAAAGTCTGAATTCAGAGCAAAAAGTCTGAATTCAGAGCAAAAAGTCTGAATTCAGAGCAAAAAGTCTGAATTCAGAGCAAAACGTCTGAATTCAGAAAAAAAAGTTTGAATTAAGAGAAATAGCTCTGAATTCAGAGAAAAAAGTCTGAATTAAGAAAAATAGGTCTGGATTCAGAAAAAAAATTTTGAACTCAGAGCAAAAAGTCTGATTTGGAGCAAAAGTCTGAATTCAGAGATAAAAGTCTGAATTCAGATAAAAAAGTCTGATTTCAGAGCGAAAAGTTTGAATTTAGATAAAGAAGTCTGAATTCAGAGAAAAAAGTCTAAAATCAGAGAAAAAGGTCTAAATTCAGACAAAAAAGTCTGAATTCAGAGAAAAATGTCTGAATTCAGAGAGGAAAGTCTGAATTCAGAGAAAAAAATTTGAATTCAGAGCAAAAAGTCTGAATTCGGAGCAAAAAGTCTGAATTCGAAGCAAAAAGTCTGAATTCAGAGAAAAAAGTCTGAATTTAGAGAAAAAAGTTTGAATCAAGAGAAATAGATCCGAATTCAGAGGAGAAAGTCTGAATTAAGAGAAATAGGTCTGAATTCAGAGAAAAACATTTGAATTCAGAGCAAAAAGTCTGAATTCGGAGCAAAAAGTCTGAATTCAGAGGAAAAAGTCTGAATTTAGAGAAAAAATGAAATACACACATTGGCCTTCCACGCTTTAGTAAACTTTGCTGAGGTTAACTCGTGTCTTTGACCTTGCCCGGTTGAAATTGCCGAGTAGATCTTTGGCCTGTCGCTCTAATTGCTTCTTCAGCTTCATCAAGTTCTTATTGAAAATGAAAAAGTTTCGTCTAACACAACCCCTTCCTATTTCACTGGTCAATAACACTTTTCACGGCCAATATCCCCAACGTCACTAAGGTCACAGAAATCAATGCATGCATATTTATTCAATAAATATATGCCTGCATTATCATCCGGAAACCTTTCCTTGAATTCCATCGACTATTCCACAGCAAATAGTCTGTGATAGTGTGCGTTGAACATCGAAATGAGAGTAGTTGAATATTTTTCGGGAAAAAATATCTTCATCACTGGAGGAAGTGGGTTTTTGGGGAAGGTTCTCATCGAAAAATTGCTGAGGTCATGTGAAGGCATCGGGAACATTTACGTTCTTCTCAGATCGAAGAAGGGAAAGTCCATAGAAGAAAGACTGACTTACATTAAGCGTTTACCTGTGAGTTGTATAGCTATCCACAGTTGATATAGGAATAACTTGTTAGCACCCCGTATACAGCAGCGCCACCATATCTTTCTGTGAATATTGTGCTAGGGTTCTGCAATTAGCTGGAGCGAGAGAGACAAGCATAAGGTGCAGTATACAGGGTGTGTGCAAAAAACTTTTGGGGTTGATGAGGTGCACATTTTGTCTTGTAACTTGCTTCGTTTCCGAGGATACCATGAAAAAATCGTTTCTTTATCTATTACTCATGAGGTTTCATTGTTATTAATGTAACTTTGCCCTTCACTGCAAGATTTTTCATTATCGCGAGAAAAAATATATTATTTTTCTCTGGAGGGAATCACTAATGTGGAAAAAATAATGAAAATAATTAATTCAACAATTTTTATTTTCGAAAAATATCTTATACTGTATATTTAGAATATTGTACGAGTAATAATTTCTGTGCAGCACCCAAACATACCCTGGAATTGTTGGATTCTGTCCAAAAAAGGGCAATTCGTCTCGTGGGTGATGCCTCGCTCACAAACTCACTCTCTACTCTGGAACACCGTAGAAAAGTTGACAATCCGGCTCTATTTTATAGATATTTTCATAGACGATGCTCTTCTGAGATATCAACAATTGTTCCTTCTTTGGCAGTCCCCGCGAGATTAACCCGTCGAGTTGAGGCTTCGCACCCCTTGGTGGTCACTTTGGAGACCTGCAGAACATCTCTTTCCAAAGACTCGTTCATCCAACGAACAGCGAGGCTCTGGAACACATTGCCAAGGGAGATGTTCCCCGAGGCATATAACCTCCAGAAATTTAAGAAGAACACCAATTCCTACCTTATTTCTCTTGGTTCTCACGATGTTCTCTGAACATTACAGGATATCCCTTTTCGTGGAAACCAGAAAATGAAAGAAACTATATGTTTGTATATGGTAGCGATCTAAAAACGATGTTCATTTGCACAATGTTGTAGACAAACAACAATAATAATGACTACTTATTTTGCATAATGTTTTAGAGAAACAACAATACAAAAATCACGTCATCACTTCGATAAGACGATGTTTTTTTCACGAACAATACACATATCGGCAATTGACTTACCATATCTGAGTGAACTTATGTTTATCTTTGCTCTTTCTGCTCATTAAACAAACTTTGAATCACTGTAGTCCAAAGCATGTCCATTCTCGTCCTTTGTGAATCAATGGGTAATAGCACCAACTACAAAATTTTTGTTGCATGTCCTACATAGCTTATATGTTGTAGAATTGATTACCACAGCATGCAAGATTTTAATAATTATTACTTTGTTGATTTGCAAGAAATTGAATTGAATGTGTTGTATATTTACACCACTATGCAGTGAAGGGATATGGAGCTTCTTTTCTAAGTCCCATATTTCAGATTGAATACGTATCATTTAGAACACTATGCAGTGGAGGGAAATGGAGCTTTTCAGATTGTACAGTTGAAAATTGAACTTTCTTGTCCCTTGTGTTACTTCTGTTTGGTTTTTGATTGAACAATAAAAATTAGATTTGACTCCAAATTTCAATGTAGGTGCTCTCAAGTCACCCATTAGGATAAGCTCAATGAGTATCATTTTGAAATTTCGAGACTTTGTCATCCTCCAACCATAAAAACAATTCATACTTCCACTTCAACATCCTGTATCTTAAATACGAAGCAAGTTAGTACACATGTTCTTATGAACTTTATTTTTTAAAATATGACGAGGAATCACATCCTGATATTTTTTGCGCCCAGTCATACACACCCTATATATTATGTCACTAAATATGACCTCGTTGTCGCATTTATGTATCTCTTGTTCCTATAAATTTTCGAATTCTCCCTCGAATATTACAAAATATATACGGGGGTGCTTACATGGAAAGTGATAATGTATGTCGGTATCACATAATGTTCACATACTGAAAACAAAGTGTGGATGGTTGGAAATGTTATTGAGGAGTCAATTTTTGCCAACCATTCTGTTTCAATAATTGTGATTTGTTTTTTTTTCTTCAGTTATTTGATAAACTGAGAGAAACTAATCCAGATGTGTTCAAAAAACTTATACCTATAAATGGAGATGTTATGGAATTGAAATTGGGTAAGTGAAGGTTATGACCATTTTTGAAAAATATACAACTTTCATTAATGATATCTAGTTTTTTACTTTGATGCTCCATGAGTTGAAAGATCAATACTATCTTTTTGATATAGGTACCCGTACCTACATCAATAACAGAGTTTATTCACTTCCAACCTGGGAATGATTGAAATTCAAATTAGGATTACCTATTGTACATTCAAATCAGTCACATTTGACCTCACTATTCATCACTTTTCGGAATTGTTCATTGTTTCTTGATGATAGTGCAGCATTAAGACCATGCAATAGATACCGAGAAGTGATTAAAACCACAAAATTTGATTTTTTTCAATGTCTGTAACACTAGCAACTTTGTTGAATGATCAAAGTCTTTTTCCACATTTGGTCACAGTACCATTTCTTTTGTTTTGCAATGTACTACTTAATTTGGGAGCTCAGCATTGGTGACAGTTCAAATCATAATCATTTGTACAGGGCTATAGTCTGATTAATGTGAACTCCCCTCTATCTTTTTTGTTTTCATTCAAAACATTTCAAAACTGATTTTATACAATTTTTCGAACAGATTTCACTTATTTTGACAATGATGCAATATCTTTTCTAATATACAGGGAAATGAATATATTTTTCAAATGAAACGCCCTGTATATTTCGATGAATTCGAATTCCCTAACTCATCCTGATTTCGAACATACATATAGAAGGATCTTCATCTATCAAAATATACAGCGCATTTCATATAAACAAATCAATATATATCTGTATACCCTGTATATTTGAAGAGATATTGCAACATCCTCTCAATATAATTGGAACCAATATGGAATATCGTGAAAAAATCAGTTTTGAATCTCCTTGAAGGGATAGAAAACAAAGAAGATGAAAGGGGGTTCACATTTATAAAACTAGCCCTGTACATTGCTGAATTCATTGGTTTCAAACAAAATTGCAATTTTGGTTACTCTCATATTCGTATTCTGGGATAATTCTAATTGGATCAGTGCTGGAGCTTTTGAAGATGGTGAATAGTGAAAAAAATTATAGAATAAAACCCGTTGGGAAAGGTAGAGAATATACCAAAGATGAGAGGGAAGAAATAACAGGCGATCTAAGGTCGGGAAGTGAAAGGGGAAAGCTTTCAAGGGTAAAAAAGGGGTGAGCTTTCAAGGGTAAAAAACAGTCCTATGGAAAAAAATTGGGAAACAAAGTTGTAGGTAATAAAAAGATCAATAACATTCGTCTTCACACGTTTTTCACATAACCTCAAAACACAAACCTAGGTCATCAAGAATAAACAATATTTTTATGGTTGTATACTCATGCTGGAGATATAAATACACCATATTATAGTTAAGTATCTTTGTTTTGATCAGGAAAGCCTTCAAGATTCACATACTTGTTTGATCTGTATTTCATTCATTCTCGCAATCTGATTGATTGGACAACTAGTTTTTGAATAGTCACGGCCAGCAATACATTATTGTCTCACACAACTATATTGTTTATCTCCATTTAATCACCGAGCCAAACACAGTGGAATATGGAGAAGAATAAATAATCACTATTATTATTGTTGATATGCTCACTAACCTAACATTTTCCTCTTCTCTTCCTCTACCTGGCACTGGCGCGGTATTTGCTATTGGGGCTGACACCTGATCCAAATGAATTCATCGATTCAATATAATACACGGATGGATCACTCTGTGGTTGTATTTATATTGAAACTTCAATTCGATGCAGGTAGACGATTCTCACCACACGGATTATTTGTTGCATTGCATACAAATATATGGCACGGTCTCCACGTTTCGAGTATAGTATTGAATTCGTGCCTGTAGTATCTGATGATGCATGTCAACACAGATTGTAACAAATTAAAGTCATCGTCCACCAATATTCTAATGTATAGTTGTCTGAGGTCTTGTTTCTATCTAATTACCTATATATTATTATAATTATAAAGTCAAGTAGGTCACATTGGTGGTTTCTTCACATACTTATTTTAGTTCAAAGATAATCGAGAAGCTGGTCAAGAATAGAATCATTCAGTTTTTAGACAGGCACAACATTCTGAGCGACCAACAGTTCGGGTTTCAGAGCAAAAAGAATACAACGGATGCCATATTTGACTTCATTACTGAAGTTTATACAGAAATTAATAAGAAAGAATTTGTAGCAGCAGTGTTTTGTGATTGGTCGAAGGCATTCGACTGCGTGAATCACAGAATACTCTTGCAAAAGCTGAAAGCATATGGCTTCAGAGGTACTACTTTGAAATGGTTTGAGTCATACCTATCAAATCGTTATCAGATTGTCAAAACAAACCATTACTCGCAACTTCATTCCATTAGCTGTGGTGTACCTCAAAGTTCGGTACTTGGACCTGTGCTTTTCTTATTATACATCAATGACATGGCCAATTTGAATATATCAGGTAGTTTCACTTTATTTGCTGACGATACTACCATTCAATGGCATGAAAAGAATGAGGCTAAACTATTTCAAACCATTTCTAGAGATGTTGACCGCATTAAAGAATGGTTTGATTCAAATTTACTGTCATTAAATATCTCTAAAACAAATATACTATGCCTCCGTTGCAATCTGCCAGCACTGCTACTAGGCAATGATACCATAGAGAGTAAAGAGAATACAAAATTTCTTGGACTACAGATTGATGCCACATTGAAATTCGATACTCACATCTCAAGTCTCAGTAAAAAGTTGGCTTCGGGATGCTATGCCATGCGAATCATTTCCAACAATTTGGGATATACTGCTACCAAGTCAGCTTATTATGCCCTTATAGAATCCCATCTAAGCTATGGCATTGCCTTCTGGGGAGTCTGTAGAAAAACACTTTTTAAAGTAATTTTCACTCTACAGAAAAGAGCCGTTAGGTAGGTACCTGTGTAAAGAAAAAGAGAATCTTGTCGGCCTTTGTTTGCACGTCAAGGTATTCTTACTCTCACTTCACTTTTCATTGAAGAATCAGTCAGCCTAATTCATGAAAATAAAACAAAATTAAAAAATAATTCAACAGAACATATAACTCGGCAACAATATCATCTGAAATTACCTTTACCATCGACTACCCTGATCAAAGACTCGGTTATATATAATGGACTGAAGATGTATAACCACCTACCTACCTACGTAAAGGACATTAAAGATCATAAAATATTCAGGAAGAGTCTCAAACAGCTATTTGCAGTGATGTGTTTTAGTATTCATCTTGGAAATGTGAATCGTTATACCACATGATGATCCTTCTCATGCCATATTTTATCTTTCACATTGTTTTAAATTTCTATTATTGTATGTAACGTACTTATGTTTTATCTTCTCTTTGTCTACAAGAGCTTTTTCTTCTGACAATAAAGAATATTCTGATTATGATTCTGATTCTGAGTTCATTCTTTCGGTTGCAGAAAATATAGCATGTTTTATTTGGATCAAAGGTGACAATGTTTGACTCGCAAATTATGCTTTCGCTAGAGACGATCCGCCTCGCAAATGCAAAATTCGCTTGTCAAACAAAGTGTCACTTTCGATCCTAATAAAACAATCTACTATTCTGCGCCTTTCATGAAATAACTATTTTCAGGTATGTCAGAAAAAGACAGACAACTGATAATTGACAAAGTGCACATAGTCTATCACACAGCAGCCTCAGTTAAATTTGACGATCCTCTCAAATACGCCATCATCGTCAACGTACGAGGCACTAGAGAACTAGTAGAACTAGCCTCAGAACTGAAGAACCTCTCACTGCTGGTTCACGTGTCCACAGCCTACTGCAACTGTGACAAAATGGTCGTAGACGAAATCCTCTATCCTGCCCCGGCTGATTGGAGAGATGCCATCCGCATGGCAGAAGAAATGGATGACGCATTCATCAACACTTTTTCTGAAAAGTATATAAATCCTTTGCCCAATACGTATACCTTTGCTAAAGCTTTGGGGGAGCACGTCGTTACAGATATGTGCAAAGGAAAGTTGCCAGCTGCCATTGTGAGGCCAACAGTAGGTACGGATTTGTATTCAATGGACCAATCTATTGAAAATAGCGAATTGTGCTAGCGAACGAGAAAATCATAGTTCTATTATGTTCTAATATTTTGCGTGGTGGAAACAGGGTGTTTCAGGACTTCCTTATATCATTTCGGGATGTACAGGGCGATTCACCATAAATGTCCCTCCTCTTCTAGCTCAGTTATTTTTGAAACGATTGCAAAATTCTATATATCATCTGAAATGATTCTTGGCACAGTTTTTTCCGCTACATCAGAAAATACCAGGTGCTCGGAAAAAACGATCTACCATTTAAATAAATCAAATGAATGGTTTCGACACAAAAAAATACTAAAGTTGAAAAATCTCGATTTTGAACACCCTATTCTCTGTAATCATCCTCACTAGACTCCAAGTGTGATATATTGTTGAAATCAGCTCTTCAAAGAGAATCTAAAAATACAATGAAATATAGGGTGTTTCATTTGAAAAAATCAAATAGTACTCTGTAGATCGTTTGTTCCGAGCACCCTGTACTTTCTGATGCAACGGGAAAAGATATGTTGAAAAATCAAATCGGTTGAAAAATAAGTGAGCTAGAGGGGGGACATTTATGGTGAATCACCCTGAATATACCCCCATTTGGTGCCCTCATAATTTTTCATATTTGGAAGGATTCTGACAATTTTTTTAGACATGTGGGATGAAAAATGTTCATGTATCTTGGAGCTGAGAGGAGTCTAATTTTTTTAAACAAAGTAGGTCTACTAGACACATTCAGGGGCTGAATAATCCAGGGTCCATATTAGCAAAAAAAATCCGCGAACGCCAGTTAATTGGCGTCCTCTGAGATAGCTCTCTTGCAAGTCTCGTGAGAAAATATTGATGGATTCTGCATCTTTATTAAGCCTCTGAATGAGTATTCTAGCAGGCCTTGGTTTTCGAAAAAAGCAGAAGCCGATTAGCTTCGAAAACCACCTTTATATATCGTTATAAATGAAAAATTCATGGGGGTAGACCGCTTTCAAATGGGTGACTCAGTAGATGGATTCAAAATATCATCATTACGTAATATAACTTTCTTTCTATAAATTTCTTGATCAATGAGTTATGGGCCATCAAATTCACAAAATGGAATATGTTTTTCTTTGATCATTTAAAATTTCTTATTTGGCTTATTAGACACCCAAAGGATAACGTTGACTATTGGGACTCCCACAAATATTTTTTTGTTCAAAAAACCTTATATATCGTCGAAAGGAGAAGTTTAATTTCATTGCATTTTTCTCTCGAAGTGAATACTTATAATGGGTATACATAATATAGTTGATATTATTTTCCAGTGATTTCGGCAGTTGCTGAACCCTTACCTGGTTGGATTGATAATTTCAATGGCCCTGTAGGCTTGTTGGTTGCAGGAGGAAAAGGTAATGCAATACCACATTAACTATAGCAGCTCATAAACTTTTTCGAATTCCTGACAATATAGCATACTCTCCTTTCATCCCCCGCCATATATGACTTTGAAACTAACTATTTCCGATTCTTCTAAATATCCCAGGGTGTAACGTGTAACACGATAAGAGCGTAGATCAGAGTCAAATAAATGTAACTTCAATAATCCAATTTTTTTCTGTGACTTCTGGTTTACTTTTGATCAACTATCTACTAACATTTAATCGAAAAAAATTCAGGGTGATCAGAATTCTGAATCATAAACCACCATGTATTCATTCCAATTGAATGTCAGTAGATAATAAATCAAAAGTTAAGGTAGGGCCGCTTTGACCAATAATGGATAGTTTCGACAAAAAAAAATCCTAGAGTTGAAAAATCCCGATTTTGAACACCCTATATCACTGTGATCATTTCTGCTAGACCCCAATAATTGTGATTCATTGATGCAATCAGCTGTCCAAGAAGAAATGTTCAGTTGAAATACCAAAGTTGCTACTACTTTTTGGTATGAGGGGCAACGCTGCATTGCTGAAAATATTTTTGGGCGATAGACCAAGAGCAACTACTCGGGTTACCAAATTTTAAAAATGATCCTATATCCCGTTCTCCGTAAACGTACCATCGATCGTGACCCACCCTGTATGAAATAGAACACAATTACCTGGCATATTCTGGTGATCATTAGATATTGTTTATTATTGTTTATTGTATTGTTTATTGAAGCATTTCCAATAATCATGGCAGATTCTTATTCTGATATCCTCCCTTCAATTTTTAACATTGGATATTTGCTGATACTTTGGAAACCAAAAACTGATTTCAAGTGACCACGATTTTTTAATATTACCCTTTCAGGTTTCTGTAACTGATAAGTAGGTTTAATCATTCGTCAAGCTATAAATGAGAAGGTAATTGATTGATATATTTTCAGTATTCCATTCATAGTGATGCGTGAAGTGCTGAGGTGCCTAATGAACTAATCATAGTACTTTTGATCCATTAGACCTGTAGGAGTTCCCTGTATAAACTCTAGTGAATCGATATAGTGAGCTAGGTGATGACGGATAATTTATTTATTTGTTATGTCAATCATTTTGGTGACAGATTATAAACTGTAGATAATATAATAAATACTTTTATTCACGACTAATATATTATACTTGTGGTTTTTGAAGTATAATGCCATATATTAATCCCGCAGGGAATAAAGACTATTAATCCCTCGCCATTATTCCCTGCGGGATTAATATATGGCATTATACTTCAAAAACCACAAGTTTATATATTAGTCGCAAATAAAGTAGAGTATACTACTCGCAATAATGGCTATTATTCTCTCGGAATGTTACTCCCTCGCCGCTAACGCGGCTCGATTCGTAAAAAATCCTCGAGAATAATAGCTATCATTATTGACTCGTGGTATAATCTACTATTATAAATCGGCTATTATCTACAATTGGTGACCCCGACGATAAACAAAATGGTTGTTCTTATGCAGAACTTGAAAAAAGAGCAGATGTTAGAGCTTCTCCGACATTTCAACATTGGTACTGGAGGATCTGTTGCAGACCGGGAATTGAAATTGGAAGCAGTTATCAAAGAAACGTATCCTGAGGTGGTGAATGTTAGTGATTTCGACTTCACAGAACTCTTGCAGGAATTACAGTCCCACAGTTCCACACAAGAAGATCCAATGGGCAATGTCCTCCAGAAGTTGAATAATTTAGAATATCTATGTCTACATTTAGCAGACAAACAAGATGCATTCAAATCCAGGTTGGATGTGTTAGAAAGAATGATAAATGATAACATTTCAAACCAAATATCAATACAGAATGTTCCATCTACCGTTAATCCAACTGACACATCAGCATTACAAACTAGTGAGAACGTATCGGAAATCCAGCTAAGTCAAATAAAATCTGTTAATCTACCTACATTTTGGAAAAATGAACCAGAACTATGGTTTAATGCGGTAGAAACGATATTCGAAATGCATGGAATTAGAAACGACAAAATAAAATTTGGAAAAGTCTTATCAATATTGGATTGTTCTCTTGCCAAAGAAAATTGTAATTTATTCAATGTACAAAGTGAAAATGATAGTTATAAGTTTTTGAAAGCACAACTCATTAAGATGTACCAGATTTCGGACGAGGAAAAAATGACTAAACTCTTTCGAGAATGTGAATTGGGTGATAAAAAGCCAAGCCAGTTATATCGTGAAATGACAAATTTAGCGTCTGGTCAAATGACAAAAAAATTCATAGTTTTAGCTTGGCTCAACAAATTGCCTTCAACAGTAGAACAAGTGATTAGAGCTTTCCAGGAGAAGTTGAGTGACGACGAGCTCATAGATATGGCTGATGGCATGATGAAAGCCACACATGCCAGTAATGAGGTATGTACTCTAAAAAGAACAAATACCGTTGAAGATAAAATTGATCAACTTCTTAAAAAAATTGAAGAACTCACTCCAACGAGAGGAGATAGTAACTGGACACCGAGACGATTCCGATCAAGATCAAGACCTATCTCAAGGCCAAGCTGCGATACAAACATTTGCTACTATCACAGGCATTTCAAAAATAAGGCAACCAGATGTACGCAACCTTGTGATTATAACAAAAATTCCAATAGTTCGGAAAACTCATCGGCCAGTCGGTAATTGCGACTGACGACTCAGGCCATAGCAAAAGTCGCTTGTTTATATATGACCCGACAACAAAACTGCATTTCTTAATCGATACAGGTGCCGAAGTGTCAGTTTTACCTTTCTCCAACAATAGTGGACCAGCTTCAGAAAAAATGTTATTTGCGGCAAACGGATCAAGAATAGAAACTTTCGGAGATAAACTTATATCAATTTCGCTCGGACTGAGAAGAACATTCACATGGCAGTTTGTTTTGGCCAATGTAGATAAACCAATTCTTGGAGCTGACTTCTTAGAGCATTATGGTATATTAGTAGATCTCCAAAACAAAACTATTAAAGATAATGAAACAAAAGTATCTATCAAGTGCATTGTCCACAAATCAGAAATGTCTTCTAATATTAAAACAATAAACGTTAATTCTCCTTATTACGAGATTTTGAAAGAATTTCCAAATCTAACAAGGTCTCTCAATCAAAAGAACGTTGAAGGTGTAAATATTGTACATCAAATTATTACTGAAGGCCAACCTATTCATTGCAAATTCAGAAGATTGAATCCAGAGAAATTAGCAGCTGCAAAGAAGGAATTTGAATATCTCATGGAACAGAACATTGTTCGTCCATCAAAGAGCCCATGGGCCAGCCCATTGCATATGGTTAAAAAGCCAAATGGAGATTGGAGACCTTGTGGCGACTTCAGGTTGTTGAACGCCATGACAGTTCCAGATAGATATCCGTTACCAAACATCAAAGATTTTACTTATCATTTAGATGGAAAACATATTTTTTCAAAAATTGATTTGGTGAAGGCCTTTCATCAGATACCTATGGCACCTGAAGACATACAAAAGACAGCTATAATAACACCGTTTGGTTTATTCGAATATCTCAAAATGCCGTTTGGATTAAGAAATGCAGCTCAATCGTGCCAGAGGTTTATACATGAGATAACTCGAGATCTTCCATTTTGTTTCCCATATATCGATGACTTTTTGGTAGCCTCTAAAAATGAGAAAGAACATAAACAACATTTGAAACAACTTTTCAGTAAGCTTCAAGATCACGGTGTTGTTATCAATCCAGAAAAAAGTGAATTTGGCAAAACATCAATCGAATTTTTGGGTTATCTTGTAACACAAGAAGGCGTTACTCCAACAAGAAAGAAAGTGGAAGCCATTTGCAATTATGAGAAACCCAAGGATTTAAATTCATTGAGGCGATTCTTGGGGATGGTGAATTTTTATCGAGCAACAATACCAAAAGCTGCAGATATTCAAGCACCACTCAATGAATTTCAGAAAGGTAATCCTAAACCAAACACAGAATTAATATGGACTCCCAAACAAGAGGAAGCTTTCACTCAATTGAAAGAAGCTGTTTCGAATGCTGCGCTATTATCATACCCGTCACAATCGACACCGTTATCTCTGATGGTAGATGCTTCTGATTTTTCCATTGGTGCAGTGCTCAATCAAATGCAAAATAGTGTGTGGAAACCACTTGGATTCTTTTCGAAAAATTTGTCGACTGCCCAGAAAAAATATAGCACATATGACAGGGAACTGCTAGCAATCTACGAAGCAATAAAGTATTTTCGTTACATGGTTGAAGGACAAGAATTTACTATTTTCACGGATCACAAACCTATTACGTTTGCCTTCAAGAAGAAAGCAGATACATCGACTCCCCGGCAATTCAGATACTTAGACTTCATTAGCCAGTTTTCCACTGATATAAGACATATTGCGGGTTCAGAGAATGTTATTGCAGATGCGTTGTCCAGAGTTTCTTCGATCAATATCGGAAATACAATAGACTATGGACTGTGGGAAAGAGAGCAGAGTGATGATGAAGAGTTACAAACTCTCTTGACTGGAATGAATAGCCTTCAACTGGACCGGATAAATGTTCCCCACAGTAACTATAAAATATTTTGTGATACTTCAAATAACATCATCAGACCATATGTTCCTATGAATTTAAGAAGGAGTGTTTTCAATAAACTACATAGTTTATCACATCCTGGTATTCGCGCAACTGTGAAATTGGTAAAATCGAAATACGTTTGGCCTAACATAGAAAAAGATATACGAACATGGACCAGGAGTTGTATAGCCTGCCAGAAATCGAAGATTAGTCGTCATGTTGTATCACCTATAGGTACCTATCAAATTCCAGATGCACGTTTCGATCACATAAACATTGATATTGTTGGACCATTACCCCCGTCAAACGGATTCATTTACTGTCTAACATGTATTGATCGTTTCTCCAGATGGATAGAAGCGTTTCCTATGACAGACATTACAGCTGAGACAGTAGCAAAAACCTTTTACAACGGTTGGATTACTCGATTTGGAGTTCCATGTAGAGTTACAACTGATCAAGGTCGTCAATTTGAGTCTTCCCTCTTCAATGAATTTTCCAAACTGATAGGATTTCAACATATTAGAACGACTCCTTATCATCCCTGTGCGAATGGGATTATCGAACGTTTCCATAGGACAATGAAAGCAGCTCTGAAGTGTCATGCTACTGAGAAGTGGTCAGAAATTTTACCGACAATCTTGTTTGGAATACGTGTTACTCCTAAGCAAGATTGTGATGTATCCAGTGCCGAAATGGTTTATGGTGCTGCATTGCGAGTACCTGGTGAAATGATTTTCAACGAAGTGAACAGAAACTTGAGCTCTAAACAGTTTCTGCAGAACTTACAAGAAACCATGAATCAACTCACTCCAACCAAGCCTTCTCGTCACAATACTAAATCAATTTTTATTTTCAAAGATCTTATGAGTTCCACCCATGTGTTTGTTCGAGTTGATTCTGTTAAAAAACCTCTCCAACACCCATACTCTGGACCTTATAAAGTTCTACATAGAAACTCCAAATATTATACACTTCACGTGAATGGAAAGGAGAAGAATATTTCTGTTGATCGGCTCAAACCTGCCTTCATTGAGAATGAGTGAGAAGATACCATAGAGGAATTATTCTTGCATCTTTTTCATTAACTAGTTGACGTTGATGAAGAATCGAATGATCTTCATTTGTTTCAAGGGGGGAGTAATGTAGGAGTTCCCTGTATAAACTCTAGTGAATCGATATAGTGAGCTAGGTGATGACGGATAATTTATTTATTTGTTATGTCAATCATTTTGGTGACAGATTATAAACTGTAGATAATATAATAAATACTTTTATAAATCGGCTATTATCTACAGACCTTTAGCTCATCGAATATGACGAATTTGTGTGAATGTACCAAGTGCTATGATAACGAAGAAACCCCCTACTTAGACCTGACAAAATAATATCGATTTTTTTGGTAGGTAGTTGAAGCAACAAATAAAATCACAATTTCCCTGTGTAACAGAGAACATAATTCAATAAAATTGCATTTCAGTAGATAATCATTCTGGTATTTGCAGAGGGATTATTCCAATACATTATTAAAATAACTGGAGCTCCTTCGTCAAATTACCCCAAATGTTTATTTTTCATTAAACCATTCGAGTGGTTTTCGCATTACCAAATACATGTTCAGCTGTGTTCTACTCGTTTCTTTCATAATTATATTCGACTAGGTTGTCTGGTGAATCTGAAGATTTTTCAAAATCCAACGCTGTCAATACGTAACAAGAACAGTCGAGGTTCAAGGGTCCACAAATAATATTGATGAAATTATTGGGAATTTATCAGAACTTATCACATTGGTTCTGTTGTCACACAGAAAACTGATATTTAAGAGTGCATTATTTGATGATGCCACCAGAATAAGACATTTTGCCAGTGTTGGAATCTGGCAATAACTAATCATTGCATATCCTCAATATTGAGGAATAACCAAGGGTCACCAGAATAAGCCCCAATAAGATAGATGATTCTTCCAATGAATGACATTTCTGGCGAGTCATCAGGTTGGTCGGATCGTCCACATTTGAAACACAAAGAATCTATTCTATAAATGCAGTTATTTCAAAGTTGTTTCAATTTCCCTGTTTCATTATCTTTGCAGGTATACTAAGGACAGTCCTGGGGAATGAAGATTGTATACAAGATTTCATCCCAGTAGACACCGTAGCTAACGCATTGATACTAACAGCAACAGCTAAAAACGCGAAAGGGTAAGAAACAGTACTAGGTAGTAATAGTTAGGGTTACCATCCAGAAACTTTAGTAATAGCCATTTCTACACCAACGTAGTCAAGAATAAGTCAGCATTACCCAGGGACCAAGATTACATCCCGAGGCGTCAACCGAGAGGTATAAGGTCGCGTGGTAATAATATTCTTTTTCTGCAACCGACACAAAAGTCGTCCATTTTGATACCAAAATTAGCTCGTAAATTGACGTTTCTATTACTGACACAAAAATAGGTATGTTGCTAGGCAACATATTTAGTTCCTAGGAGCTAAAGTTGAATTTTAGTTCCTAGGAGCTAAAGTTGAACTTTTGCTCCTAGGAACTAAAAAGGATGTACTGGACGTCATCAAGAATAAACAACATTGTGACGGTTGGTTATTTGGGTTGAGACGCATACCTGATTTGTTTCCGATTTCAGCAGATTTGGCATTTCATACCCATGCTGGAGATATAAATACACCTTATTTTAGTTTTGCTTTGGAATTATAAACATCTCAGTTAAGGTTTTTTTGTTTTGATCAGGGAAGCCTTCAAGATTCAAATACTTGCTTGATCTGTATTTCATTCGTTATTCTCGGGATGTATAACTTGTTTTTGAATAATCACAGCAAGCAATAGTTTTAGTCTCAAACAACGATATTGTTTAGCTTCATTTGATTATCAAGTCGAACACACTGTAGAATGGGGAGGAATAAATAATCACTATTATCATGGTTGATATGCTCACTAACCTAACATTTTCCACGTCTTGTTCCTATAGCTGGCACTGGCGCGGTATTTGCCATTAGAGCACCTGGTCCATACACAAATGTGTCACTCTGTGGTTGTATTTATATTGAAACTACAATTCGAACATCCTAGGAAACCTAACCTGCTGTTAATGCAGGTAGAATATTCTCACCACATGGATTATTTGTCAATATTAATTTGTTGCATTGCATACATATGGCACGGCATTGGTGGTTACTTCACATGTTTATTTGAGTTAATTGTTTCGGTTGCAGAAAAAATAGCATGTTTCATTCGGATCAAAAGTGACTTTGTTCGACTCGCAAATTTTGCTTTCGCTCGGCTTCGCTAAACGCTCCGCCTCGCAAATGCAAAATTCGCTTGTCAAACAAAGTGTCACTTTTGATCCTAATAAAACAATCTACTATTACTACCAAGGTGTACATTTAATTGAATTCTTCTCGCCACTAGCAAATACATTTCAATCATTTTAGTTTTGTCAAACTGAAATATGAACCTATTGTCACTATGAGAGCACTTCTTTTCAATTTTAAACATGACCATATATCGAAGACTGGAACCTTTGGCACGATAATACACTGTTTTACCACTAACGAAACCGATTTTTTAACGTCTCGACACGTGTTTCGCTAACTATGTTAGCATCTTCAGGAGAAGATTAAAACTGTTTTAATCTTCTCCTCTCCTTTAATCTTCTCCTGAAGATGCTAACATAGATAGCGAAACACGTGTCGAGGCGTTAAAAAATCGGTTTGTTCAGTGGTAAAACAGTGTAGTGAACCATGACCATGACAGAATATGACAAGTCGTTATTGACAAATACCTATTAGATTCGAGTACCATTCATGCGAATTTCGCATCAGAACAGTGAATTCGGGTTGATTATAACAGATGTGTCTATGTCTTTATTGACTAGTGGTTCATAAAATGATGAAAACGAAAACAACTTTTACGCCTCGAAAAGGAGTATGCTATGTTTTGTAGCTAATGGTGGAAATAGTATATTACATAACTAGTGTGGAAAGTGAAATATTTCCCGCGAGTGGACGTTTAGCATGAGCCGCAGAGCGGCAAGTGCGGAGACGAAACGAGCACAGGAAATGCACTTTCCAACGAGTTTCACACTATTTTCCCTATTATATTTCATGAGTGTTTATAAGACCAGAGTAGGGATCATGTTTCTAATCATATTCGATCACATGAAGGTGATATCATTATCATTATTATTTAATTTTACTTCAATATAACATCAACTTAACATGAATTTAACAGTTTCTCAACATTAACTTAACAATAACCCAACATCAACTCAAAATTAACTTGAAATTAACCTAACATTGACTTAACATCAACTTAACATTAACTCAATAATTATTCAACATTTACTCAACATCAAATCAACATTAACTCAAAATTAACTTGACATTACCTTAAAATCAAATTGACATCAACTCAATATCAAATTGACATTAACTTCACATTAATCACTAGATTGCCAATACATTGACATCAATTCAACTTTCAATTGAAATCAACTTGATTTCAACTTTTCATCAACTTAACATTACGTCAACATTAACGACAATAACTCATGTTAAATCGACACTAACTTTCCATTAACTTGACCATAACTTAACTTACCATAATTCAGCATAATAATCATTCATTGGTACATCATAATCTATAGACCCTGTCACTGTGCGATTTTCGAATATTTCCACCCATGTGAGTTTTACTTTCGAACTTTCTAACCGTTATATGTTGTCATAGTGAAACGAGTCACTTTCCCAATTACAAATCAATGTGTTTTGTGCTGTTTTCATAGGTGGCCGTAGGAAATAGTATATTACATAACAAGAGTTGTAAAACGCATATTACGCACGACGTGGAGAGAGTTACACACGATGCCGCATAGCGGCGAGTGTGTAACTCCACAAGTGCGTAATTGCTTTACAACTCGAGAATTGTACTATACTTTTTCTACGACTACACTATATTTTCTTCCGGATAGTGCAGATATTGTATCACGGCACAAATAACGAATACCAATTTAAAACGTCTCCCGTCACTGAGCTAGCTGCATGAAAAGTTACAAATTACAATTCTTGTGTTTGTTTATTGATACATTGCATACCGATACATTTTCTTCAATTCTAACTGAAATGGAGCCGTTTTTCATATCCAAACAGCTTTATTCATAGGTAGCCAAAAACACATTGTATAAAAAATTAACATTCATAATGGTTATTTATTTGTAACAGTGCAGCACGAGAGATTCTGTAATCGTTATTAAAAATAATTAAAAAAAGTTCTCCAACTGCGCTCTGAACCACCGACGTTTGGGTTCGGAGCCAGTGCTTCCAACAACTGAGCTACCACCGTTCCTCCGTATCAGCAGATATTTTATAAAATTAATATCGAAGATGGATCTTTTTTAATAATTCCTGTTATTTAAAGAAAAACGAATCCATCAATTCAATGTTGGGTATGTATGTTATTTGAAAAATTACCTTCAACAGGAGCATTCTGCAGAAAGTAATTGATCTGTTCAGCATTGAGTATTTTTGATTTTTTACTTCGGAATCCATCCTTCCCTTTCAAGGAAATGGGATATGTGGCTATATTAATATTGTGATTGATATTTAGTGTTGATCGTAACATGGAATATATCGACCAGAGTGATGATGATTTCATGAAATTTGGTAATTCTTGAAAATATACTAAAAGGAAATTTTCCGAAAATGACACGGTATTATTTCTAATTCTCCAGTCCAGGAATTTTTGATGTGCTATTTCGTATCATTTACGAGACTTAGCGGGTAGCAACTCATTTTTTACCATTCTAGCTTTTTCCAACATTTCTGGTGGTGTAGAAATAATCTGCTCATCGTCATCGCTTGACATAATTTTTTTAACTGAAATTGAGGATTTTCAATAGAAAATAATCATATTTTCCAAAAAAACAAAGTCATCTATCAACATACCTATGAAAACCGTGCGTGAAGCTTACTGCCATTGTTTTGTGTACAATATCCATCACTTACAGTAGTAGTCGTAGGAAAAAATAATTTCAGGTGTGATATCGAACAAATTTGGTTTCCAGGAACATAGATGAGGTTGATATTTACCACGCATCCAAACAAGACAAAACCCCTTTAACTACTGGAGAGATGATGAAAATGGGGACACGGCTCATCTGGGATTCACCTTTTTCAGAAATATTGTGGTATCCTAGATTCAGTATGACCAAGTGCTGGTACAATTATTACATCCAAGTCATCCTCTTCCATATGTTGCCTGCCTTCTTTATCGATACTCTCTTGAGGATATTTGGACGAAAACCAATGTAAGCAAATAACTTCCGAAAAATATGTTCAATCACCTTGAGAACCTGTTCAAAACTAACATTCAATATTTTCGTCAAACAATGAAACAGATTAAGGTATCACGCTGACATTTGACTCGACATAGTTCGAAAGCTTACTAACCCGAATTTTCTAATGAGTAGATCTCAAAAAGATGAATGTTGTGTAACCCCACTAAATAAACATTTGAGAATGGAGAAGTTTCCAACGGATGTATTTTCATCAATTCAGTTCCACACTGATTAGGATTATGCTTTTGCAATCTCTAATGACAATTCAAATCATTCATAATTTCGAACTAGAATAATCAAGAAATATTTTGGTGGAAAACGATGACGTGAATGGCGAATCTAGTGTGAACATGGGTGTAATAAAAGTTTGGCTGTGAGGTGTAAATCTCGAAACAAGTCCGAACTGAAAACGAAGGAAAAAATCAACGTCTCGCTTTGTTTGTATGAGGCATACTCATGATGATTACGAGTATATCCTGAAAAATGGATTAAAAAATGATGAAAATGATCTGATATCCGAACATGTTACATTTCTAGTGTATCGAGATAAAATTCAACATGAATCAATGCGCAACTAGATCACAGTCAACGAGTACGAATACAACTAAAACAGTGCATATGTAATACTAGGCGGTGAATTAAGAAGAAAGTTACTAACCGGAAACAACAATAAACAATGAAAACATAACCTCAATGAATTCACAGCTATCAGCATGGTTTGGTGTGAAACTGGTTTTGGGCGCGGTTGCCAGGTATGATTTACTTATTTCTTGGATACAATGAGAGTCCAGTCAGAATCTCTTCAAGTAAGAATTTTATTTTGATTCTATTCTATTTATTTCAAGAATGAACTTTGAGTAATGAATAAGGTATATTCTGGATATTATTGAGAAATATATTTATGTTTCGTCTTGATTATTCATTTCATCAGGTGTCCATGAAAAATTTGGTTCATATATATTTCGATTAATATGGAAATCGATAATACAATTAACATTCCATATAAAGTAGCTAATATTGAAATGAAGTCTCACTGTAGTCGATACATGTCAGAATTTCTTATTATCCAAACATATAAATGGACGTCAGCAGAATGGTGAAGGAGCCGAAACTGTTTTTTGTGTGTCTCAGCCTATTGAGAAAATGAAAAATAAATATATTATATTTTTACATAAACTTCACGAAGAAATGAAAATCTCAATATTAGAATCTTCACCATTATATAATCATGCCTCGTCTTCGTCTCGGAATAATTTTCAAAATATTTAAGAGCACGAAAAAATTTTCAGGAAAATAATTCAAAAGGAACAAGAAAAAACAATGACAGAAGTTGAATGCCGTAATGTCGGCATTCCACAGCCGTTATGAGAAAATGTACAGGGTGATGAATACAAGCGTGACGAACCACAAATCATATTTTCAATGGAGCTCAGAAAACCAATTTTTGTCTGATTAATTGGTGATCACTTCATCAGTTTGAGAATGTATTCGATAATGAAGCAATATACAACTGTCAAATATATCCCCATTCATGGCTAACACGATATCTGTAGGAACCAACACACAAAAATTGTTTTTCTCGGGTCAAAAAAGTGGTGATAATGAAAAAACACGATTCCTATGCCATAATATTTGTGGAGGAATATTTCAATCTTTATTGAACAAATAAGAAGAGTGAGGTTGTGTTTCACTGTTTAACCTCCAAGGTCGGTCATCTGACAGATCTTGCACGCAACCCATTGGTTAAAAATTACTGGTGTGAAATTTCCAGGTTATTCTCGATCCAACGAAAAGTATACATAGCCAACGTAGTTCTGGAACATTTCGTGAATCACACCTGGACCTTCATACATACTAAAGCTGTAGGGCTACTAGACCTGTTGGAGGACGATGAGAAGGACATTTTCGGATTGCAAGAAAAACATGAGAACATGGACGAACAAACATGTTTCGAGTATTTCCGAAATGGCAAAATTTTCGGGGCATGTTTCATATTGAAGGAGAAGTTTGACTTCACCAGGACTGAGTCACTGAAAAATCTCAAGAGGTACGTATTATGACATTGTGACAATAATCTGAAACTATACAGATTGTTTTCCCAATCGTTATACAAAGGCATGTATATGGCAACATAGCAAGACAGACTGATTCGGCTATCGTACACTCGTCTTCAGAGATCATGTCGCACATGGACGGTCAGCTCCCTTGATCCCCAATGCAATAACAGCGCTCATACCGTCCGACCGCGACATGTTCGCTGAAGACGAGTGTACGTGTCCGCTAGTGTTGCCAGGTCAAGAACAAATAAACGGTATAAAATTGACAATGGAAAATTGGTAAAATTGAACACCCTGTGACCGTTTTTCGAGCTACACACAACTTTGTTCTTCCTGAAGGGTGCCATATTGAATTTTTACATTTTTGAAAAAAAATTTTTTATTACACGATATGATCGTATCTTTATTGCTGATCAAAATTGGGGAAACACATTTTTGCAAAGAGTGCTTCGGAAAGAACGCCAACACATTTGTTTAACAAGCTGAATTTCGACAGTTTATTTGAATTTGGATCTGGAACGTACACATTTTCGTCAAGCTCATCTGCCTAAAAACTATCTACGCGTTCCCTCAGATTCTAAATTGCTGGCAAGATGTCCCGTCGAATCTTTCATAGTTCCCAATACGCTCTCGACCACCGAGCCGCCTTGAAAAGGCGCCTTGATTGAAAAACAGTTTTTATTTTGATATGAATAAAAAAGTATTTCACACTATTGTCTTTTGATGCTAAGCAATGTGCCATCTGACGGCATATGTCACGTGATCATTAAGTGTGATTATTTGGTAGTTGTATTGAAGGTTATAATAATTGTTCATTCAATTGTGTGACTGATTATTATTAGATTAGTTGTTTATACAACCGAATATGGAAGAAACATATCTTCCGAGTCGTTCTGACAAAATTATCATTTTGATATATCACACTTGGCGTCAAAAACATATCATTTTTGACAGAATGACAGCACGGGAAAATGAAGGTTAAAATCCCAATAAAGTCGGTAGATCTTCTGTGAAACCGTTATTCTTGCCATGTTGCCATATGCCGTCCTTTCATGATACTTGTATATGTAACGATTCGATAAATAATCTGTAGAGTTACCGTAAGTTACAATATCAATATATTTTCATAAATCAAATAATTAATAAATATGAATTATTATTTTGAAGCATTTTATGATTGGTAATGACATACAGTTCGAATCTAGCTCACGTTCAGAAAGAAGTTAGCGATGGCGATCTATTTTTCTGTGAACCTTCTTGTCTGCGAGGAACATTTCACATGGAGAACTTGTAGTTTATGGAATCTTGTTGATTGAAATTGGTTTCAAACTCCCCCGTTTCTTTTCAAACTTCCAGTCGTCTGTTTATCTTCATCGTCCTACGTCCAAGGTCTCCACACTGCTAGAAGACCCCAAACAATGTAATAAACTCAGATTACCCGTTCTCTACGACAGTGACAGTTTCCAAAAGAGTGTAACGACACAAAACAATTGACGAACGAAATCGATCACATTTGGTTACCTTATCTCAGAAACTGTGTTGACGTCTTCGAGCTGTCCACATAACTCGAAGACCCAACAGGAAGCAAAAGAACTCATGGATGAGAATTGAATGACACCTTTCATGAAATATGTGTTGGAGATGTTCTTCAATCTCTAAAGACCCAGTATCTTCACCAGGTATGACAATGTCCTAAGAGGATGTGTAAGGTGAAAACGATATATCAACTAATTTGGTTAAGGTTTTCATCATCATCAACATCACCTAGAATAATTTCATCTGTGACTATCTGAGTTGTGGTGTTGATTCTTTCGGTGGCTAGAGAATTAAAAGGGATTTGCTATATTGGGTCGTCCAAAAATCCATCCAGCTTTCCAGTGATTAGAATTGTCCCCTGAACTGAAGCAGCATTCCTTCTCTGAATCACTATATTGATTCGTTAAATCAAATTTGTATGATCGGTGTATTTTAACATGCTCTTATCAATCTTTTCCAAAGTTCCCTTATACTTCGTATTTAATTTGGTGACAAATCGCTGCATTTGGCAAACACTATTTAATATAGCAAATGCCACTAGAAGTTTACTGGAACTGCATTGAAGGTCGAAAACAAAGCAGTGATGACCTGCAAATAATCACCCTAACAATCATCCTGAAGAATAGGTCTTAGCTTAGAATGATAACTGGAATTCTAAAACAGGAGACTGCTCCCTGTAAAAGCACTTGCATTAGGAGGGAGAGGTATTTCATAGTATCTTCGACAGAGAAACCTCATTTTTGGAAGATTATATGAATTACATAAAGATCCCAGGAAGGAGCTAGGTGATTTGGTTGTTGAAACTGGCCTCAGGAAATAGATCTGTCGAAAGACAAGTTTATCAGTTGATTAGTTTGAGTTTTAGGGGCTACAAACTGAAACCAAATTCTTCATTCGGCTGAAAAATACTTCTTATGGTAGTTTTGGATTGTTTGAGGTTCTTGCGAAGTATTTTTATTTTCTGGAAGTTATTCCAGCTATTGGATCAGCACATCTGCATTTTTCTCCTATCTGCCAAATTGTTTGATGATGATATCTCACAGAAAGCATCTGTTGTCGGTCTCAGTTCGTTTTTTGTTCAGAATTACTTTTTTTTATTGGTGAGTATTTATTATACATCTTCACTTTTTCTATTTCATCGACATTGACCTAATTTGATTGTGTTTGTCTAATAAGGTGGTTCGAAAAAAGTATGGCGTTCAGAATTTACAAGGAGACGTGTTAGGGGGAAGGGGTTTGAATTTTGCCACCCTACATTATGTTGTAAAAAAGTATGGCGTTCAGAATTTACAAGGAGACGTGTTAGGGGGAAGGGGTTTGAATTTTGCCAACCTACTAACTTTTACTCTGATTTCAGGTTATGGATAATCGACATAGTTGCCAAAACAATATTCCTGAGTATGCTGATGTGGATCGTTTTTATCAAAATAGATATTCTCAGAGTGTTATACACAAGTTTCGAAAAATATATTACGAATCTTTGACAAATTGTAGAATGCGTTCAATATATTCAAGTGTTTTTTTAAAATGTTGTTTAACTGATATACCTTGGACTGAGTATTCAGTGTCGAGCATCTATTTTTATTATGGAAAATTGAAATCAATGCTGAGATTGCTCTAATTTTATAAAGTTTTTAGATATTTATCTAGTTTCATTAGTATGTTCATTGGGGTAAATACATAAGAGATGATTTTTTTATCGATAAATACATGTTTAATTGTATGAAAGTTTTATTGTCATGGCGAACAATCGAGAATCAAGAGAGTGAAAAAAGTTTTTACTTTCCATTTAAAAAGTCCCCCTTGGTAATGAAATTGATTTGTCTCTTCGATTTTTCATAAAATTTACTGAAAGGAAGATATTGAGGGTGGCAAGTTTATTAATTGACAGGACATTTTCCGGAAACTGCTCAACAGAAAATGATTAACTACGGTATTTGTAAAAACACGAACGATAAAATTTCCACAAAATTCTCATTAGCTCCATCAGGTGAAATACTAGTATAATTTCCCAACCTGAAGGATAAGAGTTACCTGTGGACAGGTTCGATAAACCTTATTCATTTTCGGAAACTAGGAAAAATATCTACAGGGTGTTTCAAAAAAACCTGTCTCCCCTACTAGGGTAGGTAGAGTAGGTAGAACACTGCAAAATAAGTTGGGTTTACTCAGTAAAAAAATTTCGTAACGCCATCCGTTATCAAGGAACAGGGTGTTGAAAAAATAATTTTTTTACACATTTTTCAAGATGATGTCGAAACTACTGGCAACATTGTAATGAAATTTTGTATGGATGTTTCTTGGAATCTAACACATCGCATGCATTTGTTTTTATATCTGACTCTCATAGAGGGCGCTAGTTACACGGTTCGTACCGAGTAGTTTTGAACATAACTTCTATGAGGTTAGATTTTTCAATCCAAATTTGATGTGAACTTGAACATCATTCAACTTCACACCAAAAAGGTACTCTTGGTAAAACTCGATATTGTGTTCCGTTTTCGGAATATTTCGATTTGAAAATGATGAAGTGATAACTGTTGCTAGTATAAGGTATTAGAGTATTATGAAAAGTTATCACCTATTAATTGAAAACCGAAAATAACAATACATTTCTGATGCACAACTCATTGATTTAACAATGAATCACAAGAGACAGATTTGACTAAGAACATGGATTACACAGTTTTGTTGTATCTTGAGCAAAAAGTCTATGCTACAAGGGTAAATTCGCGTCAAGAGTTGTAAGACATTATTGAACATCACTTAAATGACCTAACAGCTGATCCTCAACTGTTTAGAAAATTAATGCATTCTTAAGAAAATAATATAGAGTCGTGTATTCGTGGAAACGTAGGAGATTTTGATGATTTTTTTGTTCCATCAATACCTAGCTTCAGCATAAGAATCATTTTATTGTTTTGAATCGAAATAAATAGGTAATTGAACTCAATAAAATTAGCATCAGCTATTACTCTATTATATTCAAATCGAAATATTCCGAAAACGGAACATAGTATCGAGTTTCACCAAGAGTACCTTTTTGGTGTAAAATTAAATGATGTTCAAGTTCATATCATATCTGGATTGAGAAATCTAACGTCAAAAAAGTTATTTTCTAAACTACTCGGTACGAGTCAGAGATAAAAACATCCATACAAAATTTCATTACAAAATTGCCAGTAGTTTCGACATAATCGTAGACATGGATCATAAGAATGAAGATTCATTTTCTTCAAATATATTATAATACATGGTTGATACACTTTATTGTATTATCAAAAACTATACGCCTTCCTGGACCGAGAATACATAGTTCTCAATATATAGAGTGTAGAGTGTGTCAAACATGTATTATAAAATATTTCTACGTCTATGAACATGGAAAATCAGTGGCGCACATTTTATTGACAATAATATTCGTTAGGTTGCCCCCCAGGACGTCACTGGATTTTATAATTCCAATTGAATTATGGCAATATCAGCCCCTCATGACAAAAAATATCATTGCCAAATTTCAAGGAAATCGGTGGAAGGACATTTGAGATATTCATGAAAAACACACACACTGTATGTTGAAAACTATGCACATTTTCGGTCACCCTGTATATACATAGATATTCTATGAACTGTGGTAGAACATTATTCGTAAATTCTCTTGTAAAATTTATAACCTTTGTTTTGGAATTATTGACGGCGATCTTGGACTCATCTGTATATCTGAGAATACTAACGATTCTACCACGTGGCTACCTGGCTAGTGGCTGTCAGAACATATACGTATATATGTTTTCAACAACGTCATTGCATTCGTTGGCCACTCTTTATGTTCATAATTTGATTGTTTAAATGAGTGGGTAATTGTTCCTCAAAAAACTGCTGTTCATTCGAAATTGCCCTTCACCTAACAAAGGGTCACAAATAACAATGCTTGGCCATTTATTTCATGTAGTTAATTAATATTAATGTGATCATTTTCGACAACGAATTCTTCATATTCAATCGACTGTTGGTTCAACCTCGGAGTTATATTTAACTTGTTATTCGGTGATTATTTGCTTGTAGATACTTATTTATTAAAATGAAAGTGACGGAATACTTCGTTGGCAAAAATGTCTTCGTTACTGGAGGTACTGGATTTTTAGGGAAAGTACTGATTGAGAAATTGCTGAGGTCATGTGATGGTATCGACAAAATATACGTTCTGATGAGACCTAAGCGAGGAAAGTCCATAGAAGAGAGACTGGAGCACATAACGACTTTTCCTGTGAGTTCAAACAATGATACCTATACATCAGTGTGGAATAAGAAATATTGAGGATCTGTTAGGGACATGAAACAAAATAGTGGTGAGACTCTGAAAAATCAAATTCGGAGACGCTGTTCGGAACTTGAAAAGAAATCACAAAAGAGATAGGTACACACTATCAAAGAAATCACAATTTGTGCTATCAGTTGGAAACAATTCGAGAGCAGCAAACAAAATGATCAAGGATGTTTCAAATCAAATTATAGAATGACATTGAATCATATTCGTTTTTTCCTTCCAGTTACGAAAATATTGTAGGTACCTATATTTTTTTCAGTTTTTGGAATTTCATAAAGATAATTTTTCTGACGATTCACATTCATTTTGTATTTTTCATTTGAACCAAAATACACAATTTCATTGTCAGTTAGTCTGATAGAATAATGTTTTTTCAGTTATTTGATAAAATAAGACAAAAAGACCCAGGTTTGTTCACGAAACTCGTACCAATTAATGGAGATATAACAGAATTGAAGTTGGGTGAGTAAAACATGTATATCTATCATGATGTGCCTCAAGGCACCATTCTGAGACCGCTTTTATTTAGTCTTTGTATGAACGATTTTCCAAATCTTATGAATTCGGTTCAATGAACAACTTGCCACATCATGGTTTTCAACGAATAATCTCAGACACGAAGGATATTCTCTTCTGATTATGAATTTTTCAGTGGAAACTCAGCAAAGATATTGTGCATGATCCTGATCCAATCACATAATAGAAATACAAGACAAATTGGCACTAAATGTTTTTCTATTTCGACTCAAATATTCGAAAAAGTAAAAATAATGAGAGAACTTTCTAAAAAAAGGATGGGACATGGCTGGGCTGTGGACTCCTGGGATAAAAACAAGTTGATTTAGGCTAACTCACCTATATCCAAAATCGTCTCGTTGAGTTGGTACAAGGCGTGAGGTTTTTTTGAAAAAAAAAAAAAATTTTGCTCATAAAAAGAGTAGGCTGAGATCGATTTTTATAATTTTTGGCATGGCATAATCTGTGACTGTAAGTCACGTTTTGAGATGTTTTTCATCATCATCAGTGACCTGCGAGTGTTCCAAACAACCATGTTGCCGTACAAATTTGGTGATAACTTTTCAGAGGTCACACTGGAAACTTCCAGTTTTTTTTTTTCAGAAAGATATTCCCTTCAGAAATATTTTTTGTATCGTGTCAATTTTTGACAAGTCTCGATCTGAGGCGTCTTATACATTTTTCAGATAAATCATCTGGTTGGGACATGGCTTGACTGTAGACTCCTGGGATAAAAATAAGTTGATATTAGCCAACTTACCTATATCCAAAATCGTTTCGTTGAGTTGGTACAAGGCGTTAAAGTTCTCACCTTAGGTCCTGAATAGTTATCACTAAATTTGAATTGAACATTCTTCTTCAAATCGGATGAATAATATGTGTGCATATACATATTTTTGTCTGAAGGAGAATGCAAATTCTCAATTTCAGAAATTTTTATATTTCATTTTCAAACTCTTATCGTGTGTGTTCAATAGATATAATTCAATGTTCGTCGTGGCATATAGCCAGGAAAGTAGTTGTTTTCTATTGAATAAACTGAAAAAGAGTAGATATTCTCATCACATAGAAAATGCGAATTCTCAATGTATTGCTTTATATAAATATACAGGGTGTTTCAGTTTTTTGTAGCAGGACTTCAACAGCTTGAAGAAGACATTTTTTTAAGATGAAAATCTCATACGAACATATATGCGTGGAAGCTTCGTTTCCGATTTACAGGGTGTCAAAGTTTCAGATTTTTTTTATGTTTTTTGAATTTTCTCCTACAATTTTCGGAATAATTGATTGAAATTTGGTACACATAATACACTTCAAAAACTCAATATTTGAGGCTATTGAGCGTTTTTGGATACTTACAGGGTGATAGACTTTCAGGGGTCGTACCCAATTTCACCCTGTAGAACTTTTTTGCGTACCGTCCCTGCTTCCAATGGGACATAGATTCAGATTGTCCTTTCAATTTGGAAACTTTTTGCCCCTGTGTAAATTTTACGAAAACTGTATGGATCTCGAGATAAATGCAAAAAATAAATTACTTGTAATAAAACCGTTATTTCTCCAACACACTTATTTGATATTTCTCAAACATTTTATCGGAAAATAGAATGACCGAAAGCTTCCATACCAAATGGAATTCAGTTGCAAAATGAGGTTGAATTTTTTGAACACCATTATAATTAAAACTAGGACAAACAAAGAAAAAATGTTTTTATTTCAAAAAACTTCTCTAACTGGATTGCAAAATCTGAAATTGAGAAAATTCTAGGACACCCTGTATAACTGAAACTGGTTAAACTTTCGATATCAGGGACTGTATGACACACGGTCTAGGCGCTATACATCGCTAGAAGTCCATCCTTATCGCCAGACTGTCGCTTCTGACGGTTGAGGTGTAATTTAATCTCGTGAACGGCAGTTCTAATTTTATCAGTACCCTCAGAAGTGGTTCTCATCTCGAAATCCATACAGTTTTCGAAAAACATACATGGGGGCAAAAAGTTCCCAGTCCCATTGAAAGCAGAGGCGGCACGCAAAAAAGTTCTACAGGGTTAAATTGGGTACGACCCCTGAAAGTCTATCACCCTGTTGGTAATCAAAAACGCTCAATAGCCTCAAATATTGAGTTTTTGAATTGTATCAGGTGTACCAAATTTCAATCAATTATTCCGAAAATTGTATATATGTTTATTTGAGATTTTCATCTGGAAAAAATGTCTTCTTCAAGCTGTTAAAGTCCTGCTACAAAAAACTGAAACACCCTGTATATCCATTTTTGTATGTTCATAATTCATCTGAGAATATTCCTTTTCAACACCCTGTATTTAGCTTATTATTCCTCATAAGAAATTGGTATTGAAAAACACATTATCAGTGTGGATCCATATTTTCTAGGTATGTCAGAAGAAGACAGACAACTGATAATCGACAAAGTGCACATAGTATACCATACAGCAGCCTCAGTAAAATTTGACGACCCTCTCAAATACGCACTCATTGTAAATGTGCGAGGCACTAGGGAACTAGTACAACTAGCCTCGGAACTGAAAAATCTCTCAGTATTGGTACACGTGTCCACAGCTTACTGCAACTGCGATAAACCAGTTGTAGAGGAAATCCTGTATCCCGCACCTGTTGGTTGGCAAGATGCCATCCGCATGACCGAAGAAATAGATGACGCATTCATCAAGACTTTCTCTGAAAAGTATATCAGTCCTTTGCCCAATACGTATACCTTTGCTAAAGCTTTGGCGGAGCACGTCGTCACAGATATGTGCAAAGGGAAGTTACCAGCTGTCATTGTAAGGCCATCAGTAGGTACGGATTTGAAATTCATGGACCAATAGACAGGGTGTATCCAAATAACATCGAAAAAATTCAAGGGGTGATTCCTTGTGATATTTTGGGAAATAAAAATCATATATGACATGTGTCCAAACTTGCTTCGTTTTCGAGATACAGGGTATTAATATTTCCATGAAAAATATTTTTTCTATTTCTCAATTGTCCTTTCATCAATTTCAATAAAACGTTGTGGTTTTGTTAATATTAATATGGAGTTTTTTCTAGTGCCATCAGATTCGAAATAATATTACCAGTGATGGCATCACAGTGGGTAAAATTTTCGTTATTCATGGTGAATGTCATTGTACACCACCGGTTTTTTTGAGTTCCATATTTTTTTCTGCAACCGACACAATAGTCGTCCATTTTGATAGCAAAATTAGCTCTTGAATTGACGTTTCTATTACTGACACAAAAATAGGTATGTTGCTAGGCAACATATTTAGTTCCTAGGAGCTAAAGTTGAATTTTAGTTCCTAGGAGCTAAAGTTGAACTTTAGCTCCTAGGAACTAAAAAGGATCTACTGGACGTCATCAAGAATGAACAACATTGTGACGGTTGGTTATTTGGGTTGAGACGCATACCTGATTTGTTTCTGAATTCAGCAGATTTGGCATTTCATACCCATGCTGGAGATATAAATACACCATATTATAGTTTAGTATTGAAATTATAAACATCTCAGTTAAGTATTTTTGTTTTGATCAGGGAAGCCTTCAAGAATCAAATACTTGCGTGATCTGTATTTCATTCGTTATTCTCGGGATGGATAACTTGTTTTTGAATAATCACGGCAAGCAATAGTTTTTTTGTCTCAAACAACGATATTGTTTAGGTTTATTTGATTATCAAGTCAAACACAGTGTAGTATGGAGAGGAATAAATAATCTCTATTATCATTGTTGATATGCTCACACCCTAACATTTTCCACGTCTTGTTCCTAATATAGCTGGCACTGGAGCGGTATTTGCCATTAGAGCACCTGGTCCATACACAAATATGTCACTCTGTGGTTGTATTTATATTGAAACTACAATAATTCGAACATCCTAGAAAACCTAACCTGCTGTTAATGCAGGTAAAATATTCTCACCACATGGATTATTTGTCAATATTTGTTGCATTGCATACATATGGCACGGCATATTGGTGGTTACTTCACATGTTTATTTGACTCAATTGTTTCGGTTGCAGAAAAAATAGCATGGTTCATTCGGATCAAAAGTGACTTTGTTGGACTCGCAAATGTTGCTTTCGCTCGGCTTCGCTACACGCTCCGCCTCGCAAATGCAAAATTCGCGTGTCAAACAAAGTGTCACATTTGATCCTAATAAAACAATCTACTATTTTTAGATTGAACTATTGAAATAAAAACTTTTTTATCCTTCGTGTGATTTTTGTATCATGCTTAGTTTTTGAGGAAACAATAAAAATTCGATTTGACTCCAAATTTCAATGTAGGTATTCTCAAGACTTCCATTGAGATTACTCAATAACCCCAATTAGAATCATTTTGAAATTTTGGGGCTTATACAGGGGGGTTATAAATGAAAACAATTAATATTTCCATCATCAATAGCCTGTATCTCAAAAGCGGACACATGTTTATATGAACTCTATTTGCTAGAATGCGACAAGGAAACACCTCTTGAATCTTTTCGGTGCTATTTAGGTACACCCTGTAGAGAGTTTTTGGTTGCTGACCGGCCTGACCGACCGGTCGTTAATGTCACGTGACTGATCACAATGACAAATACGACTGGTTTCGACCGGTCACTTGTATAGCAAAACGACAAAAATCTTGAAAACCCTGAAGTTCACTGCTCAATCGATAATATACCGAAAAATACACATATCCTGATGATATCCTAAAAACAGATATATTAGGAATGATATCTTTTATTAGTCATTGAATTCCTCGAGATAGATTTTGTAGATGGAATAATAAATTTGAACTGTCTACCAGAAATATTTCGCTCAAATGAATGTATCGCTATTTTTGTTAAATCATAAGAAATCTGAGTCACTCATTTTGAAGACTGTATAGGTACCCTTGCCACTTTTCGAGTAATGGGATTGTTCTGAGGTTATGTTTTATATCCTTGAACCACATCGACCATCAAAAAGCCGGTGTGGTCTTAGGTCGGTCGGTGCTGGTCTTCAATAAAAAACGTTAACATATGGATACCGGTCAATGCGGTCAACAATTGAAAACCTTGAGGTCGAAGTGTGGTCCAAGTGGTCGCAATCAAAAACTCTCATATTGAAAAAAGTGAATAATTGTGCCATTGGTTTAGTAAATTTTAGTTCTCTTGTGTTACTCTGTACAAGGTGGACAACTAAGAATGCGAGGTACTGTATCTATAAAACTATCCATCGTAGGGGCTTGCGGCAAATTAGTAAATTCTAAACCCACCAATACGGAACGTGAGCACATTGTACGGACCGGGCTACAGATAAATCTGAACGAGATACGAAATCATTTTATTGGCAAAAAAAATTAATTAATTAGAAATTTTTGACGAAAAAACAATTCAATTTTCCCAAATTTCAAGGTCACGAAAATCTTAAGAAGAGAGGGGGAGGAAAATTTTATTGGAAAAAATTTTACACAAAATTTCAACAAACATTTTGCCACCATGACAATGCCGGAATCTTACGTTCTTTTTTTTTTCACCTCCACCCCAACCCGTATACGGACAAGATATATTTGGCATTACCAGAATCATCGAATACCCATTCTTGCCTTTACTACACGCGAGAATACCCGTCCTCGCCCACATTCAAGCTATATTTGGCATTCCAATACAGGGCGTTTGGGAAATTTGGGCAAAAAAAATTTTTTTTTACGCACAATCGTGACACGATTTCAACAAAATTTACCAAAAAATTCCATCACTTTTACTCTTCCCACAATATGAAAAAAACCCTCCCATCATCTATACCCACCAATACGGAACGTGAGCACATTGTACGGACCGGGCTACAGATAAATCTGAACGAGATACGAAAAACTTTTATTGGCAAAAAATTTTTCGAAAATTTTTTAAAAATTTTTGACGAAAAAAAAAATTCAATTTTCCCAAATTTCAAGGTCACGAAAATCTTAGGAAGGGAGGGGGAGGAAAATTTTATTGTAAAAAAATTTTCACAAAATTTCAACAATTTTAGACGTTTCTGGAGAACGCATCGTAGGATTCTTTTGAAAATTTGGTACCTTGGATAATCAGTTTTGTTGTATCGACCTGTAATATTCTCAGCGTAGCGACGTTGCCGCTGATATTGAAAAGTAGCAACAGCTTTGATTTTTTCAATGGGACACCTTGTACATCATTCCATTTTCAGATTCTCCCTAAAGAGCTGATTTCATCGATCTATCACACTTGGGATCTAGCGGGAATGATAACAAAGATATAAGGTGTGAAAAATCGAAATTTTTCAACTCTAAGAATTTTTTGTGTCGAAACTATATATTCATAATTGGTCAAAACGGTTTCCATCAATTGATATTTAATTGAAATAGATACAGTGTGGTCAAAAAACTTAATTCTGAAGATTCGGGTGTTTTTCACGAAAATCTTTGAATACCCTTCATCAATTCATTTTTAGAGATACAGCAAACATGGTCAAACAAAGAAGGTTCAGTTTGTTCTCTACTTCAGAGATAAGGTATTTTTTTTGTTAGGTCAATATGATGAAATTCACAGAAACATCAATGTTTTAGATTCAAGATTGCAGTTGAAAATATTTCCCTGGTTTTCTCTGGCCGTTTCGGTAATAACTTTTTTGCTACAAGCCTCTACGATGGAAAGTTTTCCATATACAGTACCTCGCATTCTTAGTTGGCTCTGATCATTTTGAAACTCACGATACTCGACTATTGTGTTCAAGGAATATTGTGAGGAATTTTTCGTTTTCTGTTTTTTCTTAATTTTAAATAATCTGACTTGGTTTTTAGTGGTTTCGACCATCGAAGAGCCCATGTCTGGTTGGATAGACAATTTCAATGGCCCTGTAGGTCTATTGGTTGCAGGAGGAAAAGGTAAATCTTTCAAGAAGATCAGTAAGCATATTACGCTGGTCATAACGACTTCAAATTTAATCTTCTGAAAGTAGGATTTCATAACGACTTCAGACAATATTTTACACAGGATGTTCTCCTGAAAAAATAATCATAAAATCTCGAGAATGGTGACATAAATTTTTCGTTGCCGCAGCCTGTGGAATCAAGTTGAAATTCATTTTTATATCATTCCAGGGATACTGAGAACTGTTCTGGGTGATGTAGAAACCTGCCAAGACTACATTCCAGTAGATATTGTGGTGAATATCATGATTGTAGCCACAAAAACTAAGGGATCAAACGGGTAAGAATTAAATATTCAAGAAAGTTTCCGTATCCGAACTACATGGACACACTAAATGGACCACTCATAATTCGACTCTATTTCGAAGACCTGTATCTTTTGAAAAAATTGGCCGATCTTCATGCGGTTTTCGATATCAGATGTGATATTTTATCGGCTTCAAAGAGAGCTAGAACACTCTGGAAAGTCCGCAGAACAAAACTTACACAGGGTGTAAAGTGGAACCATTACACTATGGTCTACATTTCCAATGCTGCCAGAACTCGATAAATTTTTTTCTGATCAAAAGTCAGTCATATTATGATACACTGGGACCTCATCTCGGGATGTTCTCGTGATTTCTCCCTAATTGGCCATTGGAACAAAAATTCGATTTTTTTTCGAAAGTCTTGCATTTCTTGAATTTTTTCCCTAGAACTCCACATGAGCTGACTATTGGGAAGAACTGTTCTCATGTTTCGTGGAAGACAATGAAAGACGAAAAAAGCACTATTGTGGAATATATAGGATGATGAGAAAATTAGACAAAAGGTGATTAAAACCATGGCCCATTCGATTCAGTATATCCAGAAACGGCTTTTTCGATATCCATTATTTATATTAGACTATTGACTCGAGACGTTTTCGAAAATTCGCCACTTGAAATACAGAATGAAAATTTTCATTTCAAACTTATTTCCTGATATCGATGATTCTTATCAACTGATTTCCAATATTTATTCTCCAAGTATGAGACACAGAGTATTGTTGTTCAATATACTGAGTGTGTCACAACTTACCTGAAAAATTACGAACTCTAGAAAACAATAATGTTAGAAGAATGTGGTGACCAGCATTATCTCCAGATCTGAATTTGATTGAACATGTGTGGAGCCGAATGAAACTTAACCTATCGAGAAGACGAGGCACCCCAAAATAATGACAACCTTATCCAAGCTGTATCAGAAGAATGGGAGGCAATATCAATAGACTTCATCAACAACCTCATAGAATCTATGCCAAACCGATTTCAGGAGGTTTTGTTAAATCGGGGAGGCCCTACCAAGTACTGAAATTTAGGATATAGGACTTTCTAGTTGGATATTCATAATGCTGAAGAATTCACTAATGTCATATTTCGCCAATAGAGCCCATTTTGAATAGTTTCAGTGGATATAAAGTGTTATGAATTTTATTTTCCATCTCGTTTTACTTCTATCAGGAAACAAGTTTGAATTGAAAATTTTCATCCTGTATTTCTATTAGAGGCGAATTTTCGAAAACGTCTCGAGTTAATAGTCTAATATGAATAATGGATATCGGGAAGGCCGTTTTTGAATATACTGAATCGAATGGGCCATGGTTCAAGTCACCATTTTTTATCATCCCGTATATTCCACAAGAGTGCCTTTTCCGTCTTTCATTGTCCTCCACAAAACATGAGAACAGTTCTTCCCAATAGTCAGCTCAAGTGGAGTTCTAGAGAAAAAATTCGAGAAATGCAAGACTTTAGAAAAAAAATCGAATTTTTGTTCCAATGGCCAATAAAGGAAAAATTACGAAAACGTCCCGAGATGAGGTCCCAGTGTATCATAATATGACTAACTTCCGATCAGTAAAAAATGTCTTGAGTTCTGGCAGCATTGGAAATGTAGACCATAGTGTAATGGTTCCACTTCACACCCTGTGTAAGTTTTGTTCTGTGGACGTTTTCAGAGTGTTCTAGTTCTCTCTGGAGTCGATAAAATATCACATATGGTATCGAAAACCGCATGAAGATGGGTCATTTTTTTCTAAAAATACAGGTCTTCGAAATGGAGTCAAATCATGAGTGGTCCATTTATTAGTGTGTTGAGAACAAGTTGATTTCAAAGAAGTGTAATAAAAAAATATTTTTCCATAGAAATACGGAAGATGTTGAAGTATACAACGCATCTAAAGAAAACAAGAATCCGGTATCGATGGGAGAATTGATCGAAATGGGCGCTCAGCTCATCTGGGATTCACCATTCTCTGAAATATTGTGGTACCCCAGGTTCAAGATGACCAAATGTTGGTACAATTATTACATTCAAGTCATACTCTTCCACATGTTACCCGCATTCTTCATCGATCTACTTCTTAGGATAATTGGACGACAACCAATGTAAGTGCAATTCGTGTTCGTATACAGGGTCCTGCATCTCACCTCCCAGTCTTCTATAGCTCAGTTATCATTTGAGTCAGGATTTCGATATTTTTCAGACTAATTATTGTATCAAAGGGCGCATACCAGGAAATATTGTATTTTGTCATGGAGTACAACCAAGAGCTCATACATGATTTTAATATTGGGAGAATGTATGAAAAACTGTATTCTAGGGTCCTGTCGATTTCATATACAAATAATAGCAAAATGCATGTAAAAAAATCAGCCGTTACTGAAATATTTCTAAAACCAAACAATATCATATTTATTTTATTTATTTGCTTGGTTCATATTTGAGACAGAATTTTGGAATTTTTGGCAAAGTGGTTATCAATCATGACAAAGCAATTGAAATTGTCAGAAATATTTTATCTTCATTAGATTTAGAGATTCACCATGGAGCTTTCGATTTTCTCCTATACGCCATATTTCTTTTTCATACCATTGAAGAATGCTGAAAATTCTCATCACAGCCATCAACATCAAACAATTTGAGGCGCTGCATTGAATATTCAGTGCAATATTTTTTTAGCTTCCTCGAATTTCGAAAAAACATTTATGATGGTTAAAGCTGGGTCGAAAGAATTTTCCTATCAGAGAGCCTAAAAGAAAAATTCACTAGCTTGTCAGTGACAATTTGAAAAAGGAGAAGGGAAATAAAGGTATATGGAAAAAATATCAAATTTTCACTTAGCTTTGGACGTTTCGGGAACGAATCTGCTCCCGTTTTCAACATAAAAAATGGATCTTTGAATAGCAAATTCCCATTTGTCTTGACACTTTGCCAGTTCTCAGTGACAATTGGTGACGTTGGCGATCAAATGAGTTACAGAATGTTTGAACAGGAAGCAATGCTATTGTCTCCGTTCAAAAGAATGCAAGCAGATCCCTTGATTTTTCTCTTCTGGTTGTTATCTTCTTTTCCAATGATTTCATGTTCATTCTTCCATTCAACAAAAAATATTCTTTCGGAAATATTCTTGAATATCTGAGGAATTTGAATTTGCATATTTAGAGAATATTTCATAGATATCTCAGAAGATTCCATATTATTCCGAGAATATTCCAATATTTCAGAATGAATATGATGGGATGGAATATCTGATGCTGACTGGGCGTATATTCTCCCGTTTCAGGGATCTCAATTCTGTGCAACACTTGGCCACACTGTATACAATGTCGAATAAAATGAAATGTTGTTGATTATCAGCTCGTATGTTTCAGGTTATTTTCGACGCAACGAAAAGTATACATAGCTAATGTCGTCGTGGAACCTTTTCTAACGAACTCCTGGACGTTCAAACACACGAAAACCATGCAAATACTGGATGAGATAGAAGAAGATGAAAAAACGAAATTCGGGGTGACCAAACGGTTTTACGATATGGGCGGAACAACTTTTGAGTACTTCAGGGATAGCAAGATTTGTGCAGCTACGTTTATATTGAAAGAGGAGTTCGATTTTACTAGGACAACATCTCTGAGGAATCTGAAAAGGTGAGAGTGAGTTTTGGAGAATGCACAAATAATGTGGGCATTGTGGGCACACTGATACTCTTCAGTGACAAATACTGCAAGAACAACTTGTTGTTAAGAAAATCAAGGCTTGGTGACAGTGCCGGATTCAGGGGAGGACATGCGGAGCTACAGCCCCGGGGCCTTTTTCGACTTTCGACGGGTAAACACGAGGTACTTGATATCTCCAAGGCATTTGATCGAGTCTGGCACCACGGACTCCTCGCCAAGCTTCCATCTTATGGCTTGCCTTCCCAGCTATGTTCTCTACTAGCTTGTTTTCGCTCAAACAGGTCTCTCCATGTAGTGGCCGACGGAGTTTCATCGGGCTCTCTTATCATAAATGCTGGTGTTCCGCAAGGATCAATTATAGCACCAACACTATTTCTACTCCATATCAACGATTTGTTGGAAGCAACTTCATGTCCAGTACACAGCTTCGCGGATGATAGTACCCTCCATACCACCTTCTCTTCCAGGGCTCCAATACCAGCCAGGCAAATCAGAAACGAACGAGGGAGAATAATGTTGACAACATAAATATGGACTTGGCAACAATTCTCGAATAGGGATCCAATAACTTCGATGCATCGATAGATTTCGATGCAAACATAACACAAGCATGCCTTTTCTCTAGAGAAGCCTATCTCATTGTGCCCAACCTTTGAAGACATCCATTTCGATGACTGGTATCACTATCATCAATAACGTTTCGTGGAAAAATCACGAGAGATCAATAGCTAAAAGTGCATCCCAAAAACTTGTTTTTCTGTTTCGGGCCAGGAGCTATCTCACTTCCAGTCAGCTGCTTAAGGCACAGATTCGACCTGTCCTGGAATACTGTTCTCATATTTGGAGTGCAGCACCCAAACATACCCTGACCCTATTGGATTCTGTCCAAAAAAGAACAATTCGTCTCGTGGGTGATGCCTCGCTCACAAACTCACTCACTTCTCTGGAACACCGTAAACAAGTTGACGATCTGGCTCTATTTTGTAGATATTTTCATGGACGATGCTCTTCTGAAATATCAACAATTGTTCCCCCTTGGCAGTCTCCGCGAGATTAACCCGTCGAGTTGAGGCTTTGCACCCCTTCGTGGTCACTTTGGAGATCTGCAGAACATCTCTTTCCAAAGACTCCTTCATCCAACGAACAGCAAGGTTCTGGAACACATCGCCAAGGGAGGTGTTCCCTAAGGCATATAACCTCCATAAATTCAAGATGAATTATATTCTCGAAGATTGAAATTGCACTGAGAATGTATTTGGTTCTGATAACATCGAATTGCACTGGAGAACGCTCATTTTCAAAAATGCGAATTATAAAAAATAGACTTCGTACTTCGATGGGACAAAACCTTCTTCCAGATAATTCTTGTTTCTACTGGGTGTTTCTTCAGTGCCCGTGAAAATTACAGGAACTATTGCTGACGTCAAAATAAGAAGAAAAGTTCGTATAAACATATGTCCGCAAGTTATTCATTTCTGAGATACAAAGTGTCAAACATTGGAGGCGGAAGAGGGGGGGGGGGGCTGGGGTGGTCCAAGCCCACCCCAAAACATTGTTCAGGTCACTCCCAGATCACATAGCAAAAGAGAGTTTCTGTAAACTGTCTATTCTCCACATAGAAAAAAGTTCAACCAAACAAATCGGCCAGCAGATATTTTGGATAATAAAAGAGAACTTTCATTATAAATTATATTTTGTTCATTTTTGTTATTTCTAAATTCTCAGGAATTCATTGAAAATATAAAATTTTCTTCAACTGAATCTATAAGTATATAATACAAACTCCAAAGTCGGAAAATGACATTCATTTTTATGATATTACATCAGATCCTACTATGTCATTAGTTGAGTGCTGCAGAACAATTATGTCCGCATTTTTTATTAAATTTACGTAAACAAGTCTATGACTGTAGCCCCCCCCCCCCCCCGAATAAAAACTCTTCCAGCGCCAATGGGGACCAAAGTTGTACTTTCTCTGCGGTGGCCTAGGTGTAGCCGAGGCATTGACACCAGGCAAGCATCTTCTTTTCTGCCATGGAAAACAAATATTTTTTCCTCCAGTTTCACGTGAAGTCCGATAATCCATCATTTTGTGTTTACCCAAAGTCATTGTCAATTTTGATCACCAGTTTGATTCAAATCATCACATTGAAAGTAGAATTGCGAAATAATATTTTGCTACCTAGGCGGTACATTTTCTGAATAGGCAGTAAAAGTACCAACACCTTTCATGGCTATTGAGTGTCATTAAAAAGTCACTCATAATGTCAATTGGAGACTAAAGTTATTTGAATACGTTGTTATATTCACATGTTTTTTTTTTCTCAAAAAGTTCATGATGCAAATTGGAATAAATACTCTTTTTTTTTCAGGCTATGGATTATCGATGTTGTTGTGAAAACGATTTTCCTGAGTATCTTGATGTGGTTTGTTTTCGTTAAATTGGACATCCTTAGGGTATTGTACTTAAGTTTCGAAAACTACATAATAAACCTTTGAATAAAGGAGAAATAGTGCCATAGTAAATACATTGTTTGAATATTATCATCATAACTTCGCGTTTGAAAAAAGTTCCGGAACGATTTGATATCTAGAGAAATATTTATGAGATTTGATAAAATTCACTATTGAATTATTTATTATGTAATCTCTGGTAGAAGTCCATGTTTGCTCAGAGTGGAGTGGAATTTTTCAAAAGGAAGAAGGAAAGCTCAACGTCATCTCCACTACTTCATTACTGATTACAACCAAGGGGACTTGTTTCGGGCCCATAAAAGTCCATCTTCAGCCATTTTTAGAACTTAATGAAGGTGAATTTGAAATACTGTTTCACCTCCATTCACTTCTGAAAACAGCTGAAGATGGACTTTTATAAGTCCAAAACATGTCCCCTTGATTGATCAACATCAGTAATGAAATAGTGGAGATGACTTGCTTTCCTACGAAGGCCTGGAAGGGACACATAAAATAAAAAAAATAAAAACTCTTCAAAATTCCGAGTTATAACTCGGAAAAACTGTTTTTCTGAGATACACTTGTGCTTGGTGAAAAAATTCATCAAACGATGTTTCAAACACTTCTCAAATAAATGTAAAAACTTCACAAACGGTAAGATTTCCACAAAATTCTTTAACACACAACATGTTTCGCTAACACAGTAGCTTCGTCAGGTGAAATGGGTCTATAATTGCTGGGGTTTCCATAATCACCATATGAATGGGTTTAAAAATTGCTTTCTCCACTGGGTGGGTATAATACCTGTTTCAAATGATACATTTAGCAATAATATTTCAAATGGACGATACAAGAATGAACTTTAGAGGGGGTGCTGTTTGAAACTGGGTGCAGATCTATTTCAGAGGACGCTGATTCCAGTGGTGTGCGCGGAATTCTCCAAAAAAAATCCAATATGTATTCCGGATTTTTCAGCCTCTGAATTTGATCCAGTAGGCCTTGGTGTTTGAAGAAAGTGGACTCCCCTTAGCTCCAGAATACACCTTTCCTCCTTCTACATTAAAAAATACTCGTGAAAACCACTTCATAAATAGAAAAAAAAAAATTAGGGGTGGCCAGCTTTCAGATGGGTCACTCAGTATATAAAACTGGATAAGTCGCCTTCTACGTTTTCACTGAAAACTAAAGTCGCAAAACGCCCGCTTTTATAGCGTCGGCAAAAAATCCGTTTGGTGCGATTCAGATCACATCCAACTCTGATTTGATTCATCTCGATTCAGTCTACATGGCATTTTTATTCCACGAATTCGTTCGACAACGGCTTCTATGAAAGTGCGCGTAGGCTACGTGTCGATGCCTAAAGCGAATACGAAAACTCCCGTTATGAAAATTTTTTCCTGATGGAATAATGAAGTCACGTATTTTCGAAGCCCTAGTGGAATAATATTAAACGTTCAGCAGGAAATGGGTATCGGGGTATTAGAGGAATCAATAGACTTTTTATTTAGAAAAATATTATTTCAACCATCTGAGACGATCCATCTTGCAGTGGAGTGAAGATAATAAGGCGGGAAAAATATCTCACAGTCAACTCCACCAAAACTATCCTTTGTTGCATAAATTGGAATTGGGACATGTTTCGAAGCTTCCAAGCTTCATCATCAGCAAAAATTATTTGTTACAGGGAGTACGGAGTATACTACAATAAGAAAGACAAAAAGCTACGTCAGACAAGCATTCAGATGTTGAAAGTCAAATAATCTCCACCTGTCCTGGGGAAAAATATTTTATGATGTTTTAATTTTTTTCTAGGAGTTTTTAGAGTATATCTTCTTCTCAAGAATTATCAAGAGAATTATCTGAATATCTGAATGATCTTTAGGAAAGACAGAGAAGATCTATCCCTGAAAATGACTGTGTTAATGTTAATGAATTGATTTTGCCGTACTCCTGGAAGACTATAAGCATGATCCAGTTACACAGTGATATTTTGAGGCAGATTTAGTCATTCTGCTTCATGAATTCAGTAATACCTAGCTTAGGTATATGACTTCTGCATAATATTGTCATCCTGAGAAGTTTCCTGACTGATTTTGAATTTCTATTCTGACCATGTTCTGCTTCTAGCTAGCCAATTTTTTTTGTAATTCGTGAAATATTGAAACATCCGAATGTACGATTTCCTTCTACTTTTTCACATATTCATGGAATACATATACAGGCTGATTCACGATGGAAGGCACATTAGACGTTTATGCAGAACGTAACTTGGGATTATTCTGAAAATTTGGTGCCTTGGTTAATTATAGTTGTAGCAACAACTTTGATTTTTTGAATGGGACACCCTGTATATTACTCCATTTTCAGATTCTCCCTGAAGAGCTGATTTCATTGACCCATAACACTTGGGGTCTAGCAGTGACAATTATATAGGGTGTGAAAAATTGAGATTTTTTTGTGTCGGAACTATTCATACACCCTTTTTAGTTCCTAGGAACCAAAGTTCAACTTTAGCTCCTAGGAACTATATATGTTGCCTAGCAACATACCTATTTTTGTGTCAGTAATAGAAAAGTCAATTCAAGAGCTAATTTTGGTATTGAAATGGACGACTTTTGTGTCGGTTGTAGAAAAACTGTTTTTATGGAAGTCACATTTCACGTGCTCATAAAAAAATAATCTCTTCAATACTGTCTTGAGATACGCCAGTGGTGAAAATATCAAACAGTTTGTGATTGAAAATTCTGATTCCATATACAAAACAACCCCAGATAATCTCATTATGTGCGATAGCATGGAAGTTATAACGATATCATTCATTTTCAAGTTGTATGTACAATGTAGGCGCGAAAGTTTAAATCAATCACTTCGTACATGGCGAAGCCAATGCATGCACAACGTTTTCATGTAAATCATCCTGACCTGCTAAACATTTGCTATCAAATTTGGTTCATCAGCCCAAAAACAGTTCAAACATGGCATTTATAGTTAGTTATTCATGGTTGTTCCGAATACGGTCTTCGATAACAACTATATAATGATTAGTTCCACTGCTATTATCCGTTTGCCATAAAAATGTCATTTTATTTCAATTTTCTATCTATACAGTGTATTGCAGAATTACGTGAGGATACAAATAGAAAAAAAAAACTTTTCAAGATATGTCCTTAAATGCAGATTTCTTCAATAATTTTTTTCTCCGATTGGCAGCAAATATTAATTTTGCTGACACATATCAATCAGCAAAGTATTACTTTTCCTGCCTAGGCAGCAAAGTGGGTACTTTGCTGATTGATATGTATCAGCAAAATTAATAATCCATAAATCGTTTATAATTTCCTTCATATTTCATCCGAGACTTCTCCGGCAACAAATGCAACTCTATATTTTTGCCACCTCCCTTATATCTGGAGGTTTAAGTACTTCCAGGTCGCTATCACTATCCATTATATAATAATTCAAATATGCCGATATTTTTTCGCACAACTGTCAGAAATTTCATGAATTGGCAAACTATAATTATTATGGACATTTCCATAGCAACCAACCATTCCAACAACTGCGATTTCTATCAAATTTTATTTTAATTGAACACTACAGGAGAAATAAAGAGATATATATCATTATGAACAATCGGAGAAAAAATTATATGTTCAACTCGGCAGCAAAGTAGATTGACTGCCTTAGCTGGATTCCTAGCCTCGCTACGCTCGGCTATGAATTCAGCCTCGGCAGTCATTCTACTACTTTGCTGCCTAGTTAAACAAATAACTATTGTTATCATTGACTCTAGAATGACGAAATTTTGTACCTATAGGGATGATTCGATATTCGATTTATCTCATTTCTACTATCAGAACATGACTTGTCGAACACCTCAACATGAAAAAGGTAATCGTGTCAGCCATCGCCATCCGCGAGAAAAGGGCGGTTTTTCATTTTGATTGCTAAGAAAAATCACCTAGTGAATTTCGTGAAAATCAGTAAATTCCCTATTCGGATATCAACAAACCAACATTACGATCAACTGTAATGAAACGAAACCAACTGGAAATGTGAAATTTCAATAATTATCAAGTTACATTTTTTTTATTACAAGAGCACATCACGTTCATTCGTCGAAGTAAACTTGACATCATGACTCAATAAGAATTTGGTTGCCTGGCAATTTGACGAAAAAAACTGCCTCTGAAAAGATTACGAGTCCGTAGGACGAGTAATTTTTCCAGGCTTTTTCTGAGTTGAATTACCTAATGGCAACAAGATTCGAATTATAAATGCCAAGTTTACTCCGATTAAAAAAAAAGCTAGAGTGTAATTCGGTAAGACAATTTAATTCATCAAACATTTTGTTTATGGCTGGTTGTCATGCTTCCAAAAGTTAGGTTAAGTTATTGTCGCTGGAAAAGTTATGTCAATTCTGACGTGTGTCCAAAAAACTTCCGGCAGAAGTGGACGTGGACCAGTCACCATATGCTCGGACAGCAAAGCTGCTATTATGGCATTGAGATCCAATAGGATCACAACTGAATTGATGTCCGAGTGTAGAAATGCCTTAGAAAATATGGGAAAAACTAGGAAAGTCAGCCTCATGTGGGTTCCAGGACTCTCTGGTATCCCGGGGAACGAGGAGGCAGACATACTAGTCAAGATCATTTCAGGAACGACACCCATTGGACCAGAAGCGATATTGGGAACACCCAATAAGTACGGCTATGTCCTTCATGAAGGAAATGCTACAGAGGCAATTCCTTGAAACATGGCGGGACACACCAGGAATGAGACAAGCAAAGCTCCATATAAAGGAACCTTCAAAAAGACTCACGAGAGAGATCCTGTCACTTAATAGAAGGGATCTCAAGATGGTAGTTGGGCTCTTTACTGGGCACAACCACCTCAACAGGTACCTAAAACTCATAGGGATCAAAGATGATCCCATCTGCAGATGGTGCTTGGAGGATGATGAAACATCGTTACCCATACTCACTGAATTCCCCGCGCTGGGGCATCAGAGGAAAGCTGCTTTTGGGAGCATTTTACTGCACCCAAAGGATGTGAAAGCGACTCAGCTG